AAGCCAGTACTGCTTGTGAGAATTCCTCAAACCCTTCATGAGCACCTTCATGAGAGAACCAGCAGCCAAGTGCCAGAGAAGAACTTCCAAATTCTCTGCACTAAAAGGAAAAAAAAAATTCAAGAACCTTACTAGAAAAGGGCAGCTAATGAGGCCCAGAGCCTGAGACASGCTGGAGTGATCTGAGACAGAATGGAGACAGATTTAACATTTAACTAAAACTACATCATCCTAAACAATTAAAGGTCTCTATCAAGTGWCAGAGAACCCAACTGAAGCATTCTGAAGTGCTGCAACACTGGATCTGAAGAAACCTTTGTGTTCCAACATCCTGAGTGAATTTGATGTGAGGTGAGTTTGTAGCTACAAACTGGTCTATTTGCTTTCATTCTGATCAAACTGCCACAGGTAAGGCAGTAAGATTTCCTGAGCATGGATGTACTACAGCTCACCTCAAAGGTTTTGCAGCACACCTCTCTCTATCTCAGACAGCAACCAGCAAGTTGCAAAGAAGAGACATTTGAGTTAATGTGAGTAAATGCTTTCTTTCTCACTAATAAAAATCATGCAGGAAGATGCATCTGTCCTGAGGCAAAAGCAGTGACAACAAAATTAGAAAAAYTGTGTATTATACCTTCTGGGTTTATTTCCATTGGAGATTTCTAGCCCCACAAGCATTCTGGCATAGCTTTAAGGCAGAGGCTCTGTGGTGTACATAAGGTCTAATTCACAGCTGACTCTAAACCATCTTGTTTTGACCTTTAGCTACATCACTGTCATTTTTACACAGTTTTACAGTAAATAAAAGACAAGAAATTTTCAATTGTGTACAAACAGATACAACACTTTCTATTTCATGTTCTCAATACAGTGGGGTGATGGGAACAGGTCTTTTCCCCTACATCAAAGCAGTTCATTCTTCTYCTAAGTTGATTTCCTAAGACTTCTGAGTTTAAATACATCACGTAACTCAAAACAAATTCCATGTTTTTTTTAGTGCAGGTATTTGAGTCCCCATGCACAGAATTARCGGTGTATTTATTCATCTGTGTTTTAATTACAAAGATTATTACAGCACCTCTACTAAAAACACAAAATCCTGACTGCTGCTGCTGCTGCCAGGCTGATTACAGGAAACTCCAGCCCAKTTCTGACCCTGCCAAACCAAGTTAACCCTTAATGCACTCGGAGTGTTTCATTTGTTGATCACTGAAGCCTTCCCTACTCAAGAGCCTTACAATTTCAGAGGTGTGTAGTGAATGTGTATCAAGCACCTGTTTAGAAGCAATGCTACTAAAAAGGAAAAGTTGTGGGAGAGGATGAGATTCAGGTTTCTTACAGCTGTTTTGTTGTGCAGATGCAACCATAAACCTGTTTTAAGTGGGCCACTCACACATAACTTAGAGCTGCTTACCTAATATCCCAGCCAAGGAAAGCACTAGAATAAAACTGAATAAAAAGGACGTGTGATGCCACTGTAGAAAGCTGCACAACCTTGCTTGCAAAGCTCCACGACTCCAGTGACGAGTACCCCAGAAATGCCCCTAAGTGACATTAGGCAGCCAGCAAAATAAAATCAGCCACTAATATTTGTCTGCACCTTCTTCAAAATGAGACCCTCACCTGATGTTTGACTAAATCCACCTGTACTAAGGCTTGCAGAAGCAACTTTTTTATGATTATTGAACGGTATGAGCTGCATTATAAAGCTGTTTTTTCCTCCCACCTTGCCCCCACAATTCCATAAATCCCTGGCATGGATAGGAAACTGGACAATATGGACTACAGAAATTTTGGATGAGGAGGACAGCCAGTTTCCTGCCGTTAAGAAAAGTTATAAGGTATGCAGTGGAAAAGACAAATGGAACCGAAAATGTGATGAAAACAGGAGAAACTATCAAGATGAAATATTTATAAGATTTATTTTTAGGACAYGTTACAAATGTTACAAAATGAACTTTCATCTTCCTAAGTCAGAAACCCTAGCACTTCACAGAATAGTAAACATTAGGGTCCTCTTCTGCCTGTTTAATCATTAGTAAAAGGGGTCAGGAACAGGCTTACTTTGAGCTGCAATTCTGCTTGTTTCAGGTACACGGTCTTCTTTCACTATTAAGCTCAATGTCTTCGGTGTCAAACACAAAACACTTGGTTTTTTAACCTGTGAGAGTAAGGCTGAGACCCTTCGAAAAAAAGGGTCGGGGCCGCCTGCCTGGACTGCACAATAAGGCCACACTTACGAGATCATGATGTACGAGGGCTGTTCTTGCAAGGGAACCAAGCTCCCCGTGCAGACACTTCCCGTGGGCGGCTGAACTGCGCTGCAGCCGCAAACAGCTCCAGAGCAGCACACAACCCCGAGCCACAGCTCGCCCGCCCCGGCAGAAACCGCTGCCTTCGAGAGAGCGGCCGAACCCCACGGGATGGAGGGGCTGCACGCCCCGAGCAGGGCGGACGCGATGCCCGCACGGCCGGGAAGGGCAGCCCACCCCCGCCACCGCTCCCGGCCGCCCCTCGCCCCAGACCCCCGGCGCTCCGGGACACGGCCCCGCGCCTCCCCCCGCCTCTCCTCGCCTCACTCACAGGTCGCCGCCTCGGCCAGGGCGATGGCCAGCGCCAGCAGCGGGAGACACCGCGGGCCCCGCGGCCTCATCGCTACCGGGGGGCGGCCGAGACCGGGCGCCGGGACTGCGTGACTGCTGCTCTGCGGGGCCGGACGAGGCTCTGGGGGCGGGAGGGAGGGGCAGCGGCGCGGGGGGGCGAGGCTGGGCCGTGTCCGGGCAGCGCTGCCCTGCGGGAGCGTCACCAGGGCGCCGGGGACAGCGCCGCGGGGGCGCGGACGGGGAGCGCCTGGCCCGCCCCGCGGAGGCGGCGGTCGCACACAGCGGGCTCCGCGGGCATCCCCGGCGGGAACGGAGTGCGCAGACCGGGCAGGGCCCCGCGGCGGCAGCAGTAGAGCGGAGTGGTGCGGGGCAGGGCGGTCGGGCGGGCAGCACCAACAGCCCCCATCGCTGTGGGGCCGCTCCCCATCGCTCCGGGGTTACGCCGGCCGCGGGCGCGCGCCCCCGTGTTTACTCCCGATGCTGCGGGGGGGCCGGGGGAGCGGATCCTCGCCGCTGATTGGCTAATCCTCCGCGGGCGCCGGRCGCGCCGCCCCCTCCTATTGGTCGGCCGCGGACCCGCCCCCGCGCGTCTCCGTGCGCGCCATTAAGTGTGTCCCCTCCCGGCCGCCGTCGGCGGTATCCCGGGGTGACCGGTCCGGTGTCGCGTCCGCGCCGTCGAGGAGCYCCCGGTGCCGCCAATGCGCGTCCCGGCCTGAGCGTGTGACCSGGAGCGGCCGAGCGGAGCCGGAGCGCGGCCACCGCAGCCCGGGGGTGACGCCGGTCCCCGCCGGCCGCCGTCACCGCCGCCGTGGCGGGACCGGGCCGCGCGTGGCGGAGCGCCCCGGGCCGCGGGCCGTGGGCCGAGCGCAGCCGTTGAGCTGCGGGGCCTCGGCGGAGCCAGCGGTGAGCGGGGCGGGGGAAGGGCCCGAGGGAAGCGGGGGTCGGCGGTCCGAGTGCTGACTCTGCTTCCTCGTCAGAGTTGTTTTTATAGAAAGCGTTGCGTTTGTAAAGCAGAAAAGTGCTTCCACAGTGGGAGACACGCAGGTGACACATAGCTGAAACGAAGCTTGGGTTTTAGAGCTGCTGCTTTTTTAGAAACAGGAAAGGAAGGCTGGGAACGTGGCTGGAAACTGCTCTCTTGAACTGTGGGACTTATAGTAACATCTCTGCAGAAAATCTGTTGGTCCTAAACCTGTTCCGCACAAATACTTGAGTGCTTCAGTCTTTGAGGACGTCACAGTTGTYGCTTGCATCTCGTTTAGCTGTTGAATACAATTTTGGCAGAGGATGTTGTTCACATTTTTTTTGCTGGTTATGCCTACTTTGCTGCTCAGTCACTCTTTTTGCTGTTCAAAATGTAGCGCAGTACAATGCCTTAGAATTAACATTCACACAAGGAACATTACTTAACATTACAGTAAGTTCARTAATTAAGCTGTTTGAGGATGGTCAGCTGTAAAGGATTTGTATAGCTATATTTCCCAGCACGTGAAAGCTTAAACAACTCAAATAAACTCTGTACTGTAAAAGTCTCAATGGAAGGCTATTTGAAATACTAAATGTACTCTTCGGTGTGCTGGCTTCACTGCTGTTTTGCAAGTTTCTGGGCTTGTTGGTTTTGTTTGACCTCAACAAGCTGACAGATGCAGTATCTGGAACAGGTTTGGGATGTTGTTAATGCAGCCTATAAAATTYCTGTCATGTCTTCCATACATATTTCAGGCATCAAGTCTCTCCAGACTAGCACAGCAAAAGGTGAATTGCCTCCCTACCATAATTTTTTCAGCYGTGTTGAATGGGTCACATTTTCGTCCCATAATGGCACGTTTCTGAAAGTTTTTATTTTATTTGTCAATTCCAACAAGATTCATCTGCCCTGACATACTTGTCTGCTTTTCACTCTTTAAGAAGCTCTCTTCATTTCAYGAATCCCATTTGAGTGCTCGGGACCATATATAGGCTCGAGARTAAAGAGAAAGAGTCTTTATAATATGGGATGTGAATTGTTCTGTGGGGATGCTCAGGCACTGAGAATGTTACATTTTTGTCACTTGGCAAAATGACAATGGCACATTCTGTTCACTGAGCTGTTAAATTTTGCTTTCTAGCTGAAAATTTGTGTAGCTATGTTCTCAAAGATAGCCTTGTTCAGACTTCCTTGTGKATTGAGGCACCACAGCCCACTGCATGTGGGCTTGTTTCTTTCTTATATCTTTTTGTATAAATGATTTTGTATTCCTCAGAGATTGTTTTTAATACTTGTTACAGTTGTAAACATCTTACTCTTTTTAGGAACTTCTTTACTCTTCAYACTCTCAGCACTCCTCTGGAGAAGCTATTCTCAGGTTCTCTTGGATAATGGAATATAAATGTTTAAAGAGTAGCTGTTGTCTCTGCTTTGAATGAAACCTGATCTATTTCTGACGCTGAATGACAGCAGATCCATGCACCTTGAAAATGGAGTTTCATAAGATCAGGAGGAGTTCAGTTCCTATCACTATAAATTATCTAAACCATCACAGTTTAGTTTGAGGTTAGTTATAATTTAAAACATGACAGGAATTTTCAGRGACAAGCTTTAGGAGACTTGCTGTGGTAATTCTCAAAAAGAGGACTATTCTTTTTCTTTCTTTCTACTTATTCTTTCTTTCTACTGAAGAGTAGAAAGTGGGGTTGTGGAATGATGGACGTACTTGGCACTTCTATTTAATTTAGTGACAATTACTAGATATTATTGACAGTTCCTCAAAATACTCACTCGAGAACCCAGTTTCCTTGTTGTCGGATCTTTTTGTGTAGAAGAAATTGACAGTTAAATGAATATACTTAGTAGGTARGGACGTTCTTTGTTTGCTTTTAATGCCTTATCCTGTTATGTTCTTGTAAGTCTTACTCAGGCTTGAAATTGGTCCTTTTTCTCTGTCAGTCAGCACAACTGTGGGATGTGTTGGTGAGACAAGCACTGAAATTTTGTAGGTGGATGTGTCTTGCTTCTCTAACTTGCAGGTTTTATTATGTGCTGTGGCCTTGCATTATTATTTGGGATAAGTACTGTGAGGTGGCTGTCCAGATCTGTAAAATRGGAGTGGATGAGGTGTGAGAGGATGGAAAAGGGAAAGACATCATGAGGCTGTGCTGGGGCTGACTGAACATAACACACTGAACAGCCAGGGAAAAGGCTTATATTGCTTGTATACAGTGCTTACTTATGCTTTTATTTTATCCTTATTTTTTCTTTCTAGCAGGCCTCTGTGGTCTCTCTGCAAATCTCCTGGGGTTGCTCTGGCCTGCCCAAATTATTCCTGTAGCATTGGTTGCTCTGGATGGCTGGTGAAGAGGSATGTTCAATCTAATGGCCAATTGCTGCAACTGGTTAAAACGGTGGAGGGAACCTGTCAGGTAAACRTGGGAAAGTATTTTACGTTTCTGACCTTCCTAAACTGTTTCTCATCTTTTTTTTATTCATTGTTTCATATTTGATCATGCCTAGCCTCTCATCCAGCAGTACGCCCAAGTCCTTTCTCCCCAGGGCACTTCTCCATCTTCTCACCCCCCAGCCTGTGTTGATACCAGGGGTTTGCCCAGACRCAGGTGTAGCACCTTGTACTGGTGTTAYTAAATAAACCTCCTCAGATTSCCACCTCTCRAGCTTGTTCAGGTSCCTGTGGATGGCTTCYCATCCTTCAGGTGTGTCAGCCCCACCACTCACCTGCAAACTTGCTGAGACTGCCCTCAGCACCTTTTCTATCTCCTAACACTGGTCCCAGTACGGACCTCCGAGGGGCAACACTTGTCACTGATGTCCATTGGGACTCCAAGCTGCACTCCATCTACTATGCTCAGGATGTGACTGGGCATCAGTCCACCCATCAAACCCATCCCTCCATTTTAGAGAGAAGGATGTTGTGGGGTTCTGTGTCAAAGGCTTTACAGAAGTCTGAAAAAATTATATCTGTAATCCTTCCCTTRTCCACTGATCTCTAGGTTAATCAGGCAAGACTTTTGTAAAGTTTGTTTAATTCTTGTCTTGCTCTTTCAGTTTCTGAAATTTGAATATCTAMAATATAATTTGGTATTTTTAGATTCTTTTCTCAGAGGTTTTTGGCTCTTCTGAAATAACTTGTATACATTTTTTACATTGATACCATTACAGTTTAAAGTCTGGAAATAACAATGTTTTTTAGTAATACTTCACTAAAAGGGCCATAAAATTGAGAAAATTGTTTTAACCACTATGAGTCTTTGTGAATAGGAGGAAGAACCGAGGTGTACACCTAGACATGTTTTTCCTATTGCTTTTAAAATCCTWTCCTGGTAAAAATATTAACCTGTGTACCAGTTTGCTAAGATATTGTACATTCTCAACACCCCTGTTTTGCACATTTGCAGTCTAGATTGCTCCAGCTAGACACAAAGGCATGGGAAGTGCAACACATTTACAGCATCTGGTGTTGTCCACACAAGTGTTATATACTTTATGGTGTTGTTCAGATGCACTGATGGAGACAGAAATAAATTTCTAATACAAGAAAAACTTCAAGGCAGAGAGATGGTAAAAATACAGGGGAATGGAACTACAATTATAGAAATTGTTAAAGGGACCATGACCACACCAATAAAATTTACAGTACCGTGAAATTAAATTGCAGCAAGCAAGTACAAGTTGAAAGCAAAATCATTGTCTCATGTGAAACTCAGACCGGAAACTAGACTTTTCATTTCACACTTTGTTCTGCTGTTCTRTCTAATCAGATGATTGGACATATTAAACACCAGACATACAATAGTAACAACACCTTGGTATTTTCATACCTCCTCTTCTTACTGTTTGGTGGAAAATTTGCTGTGCATGTGTTAAAAAATATAGTAAGTGATGTGTARCTAGAGGAAAAAAAATAAATAACTGTCTCTTTTTTTTTTCTCCTTATGGAGGAAGGTGACACTAATAATGGTGGGTCTTGATAATGCTGGGAAGACCGCTACAGTCCGAGGAATTCAAGGAGGTAAGTGATTGATTTAGATCCAAATGGAGCACTGAGAGTATCATTCCTAATTTTCAATCATTTAAATCTGAAAAAACTGCTTCATCCTTTAATGTATCTCTCCCTCCTATATTGTTGAAAGAAAATGGTGGGGATCGTGCCACCTAAATATCACATATATATTTATCTTGGTATAAACATTACTATAGAAAAAGCAAACTGTKAACTTGAACTTGATTTTTGTTTTTCTCACCCATGTTCATGTGCTGAAGTTGCTTTCAGGTGACCATCCAGTACTGTGCATGCACCAGTAAACTTTTCATAAAATTCAGTGTTGTAAAAATATATAAGCAGAAAAGGTTCAAAAGAAGGAGATGCATGTGTATGTATAATAACATTAGGGATGGTTCAAGTGTTAAGTATTTTTTATCATTATTTATAATCAGAAAATGATGATAAAATTGTCACTAAGAGACTACTTGATTTTGAAAGGTACTTTTCCCTGTAACATKCAAGCAGGATATAATTTGAGATAAAACTTGTGCTCATGAAAACAAAAATTCTCTGTTTTTTTTCTTTTTCCTCCCACTTGTGGGATTGCCTTTCTAAATAACTTTCATCTTGTGCAAGAACATGAGTTTACTCAGTAGTGTTTTGGCAGACTTGGAGACTCCACCTCGAGTTTGTTTACTTGTGTTATGTAAGTTCATAGACTTGCTAAAGCACAAATAAAATCCTGAATATTCTATCCTATTGCTGAATCTTTACCCTGAAAACAGAAGTGTTTCATTATTTAGTCTTCCCTTCTATTTGGAAACCAATTTTACTACCTTTACCATCTAAATGGAACAATTATTTCTCAAAGTCTTATTTTTCAGGGAAAAAAATATATAAAGATGTGTCTTTCTAAGGGGAAACTTAAGGAAAAAATAGTTCTGATTTCTCTGGCTGTTCCCAGGACTTAATATTCTGAATGCCCATCTTGCCTGTGTTAAGGGTAGAAACAGAAGGCTCATGGGATTTAGCCTCTCCACTGCTTGTTGGAGCTTAGTGCTTTTGGCCAGGCCTTTATTTTTTTTCTCCTCTCAACAAGCTGAATTTTACATCTRTTTCTCTTGCCTGGTGCTACCAAGCTACATGAGACAGAGAGCCAATTATTTCAGCCCTGGAGGCACAGCTTACTGGTGTGAGGCAAGTCCGGGCTTTCTTTGCCCTTAGGAAAGGGAGACAGCTAGCAAAACTATTAAGTAGAAATATATAGATTTTTAGCATATTGCATGGCAAATTAGAAAAACCAGCAAATGAAAGTAAGCTAACACAGGCTAAAGCCTGGCCTTGAATAAAGGGAATCGAGTACTTCRCATCTCAGAAGAGCATGGTTTCAGTCACTTAATTCAACCAGTGGTTTGAACTTCTGAAGCTGTTTTGGCAATCACAAGGCATAGAAAACAAATCTGGCGCAAGGGTTGCCAGGTCATGATGCATTAACTGTTTTGGTTGTTTTCCCTCTCAAACTTGGATTACTACCATGGAAATGCTTTTTAACTGTTCAGTGTGGGAGTGAGAGTGGAAATAAAAACACAGTACAGTGATCACCACTGCAATGGAACTGTGGTGTGAAATATTAAAATTTGCCCTTTTTGATTCTTTCTTTTCTCCCCCTTCCGGTCTCCCAGTGTTCCTGTCTAAATTAATGTAAAGTAACTACTTGGAGACTAGTGAATCTAAAATTCCCYGAGGAGAGGGAAAATCTTCATGCAAGCAAAAATGCAGTCAGCAATATTTGACAAGGAGGTTTTGCTCCATCTTTTTAAAATGCAAATTTTGCTACACAAATCCCACTATAAAATCCTCTTTAAACTAAAGGCTTTCTTCTTTGAACTCTGACAGAGTCTCCTGAAGATGTGGCTCCAACAGTTGGATTTTCCAAAATTGATCTTAAACAGGGACGCTTCGAAATCACCATCTTTGATTTGGGAGGCGGTAAACGAATTCGGAATATCTGGAGGAATTACTATGCCGAGTCCTACGGTGTCATATTTGTGGTGGATTCCAGTGACATTGAAAGAATGGAAGAAACAAAACAARCCATGATCGAAGTTTTAAACAGCCCTAAGATATCAGGAAAACCTGTGTTAGTGTAAGTAATATAAAAAATATTCTCCTAATAATCTGACAGTGGGTAAATTTAGACTTTCTAAAGAAGTATTTCTGTTGTAACTAATACTTTTGTTTTGACCATTAGTTTTATGTTATTTATGAAGTAATTATTTATTACTTGTATCATACTAGTGAACAAAGCCTTTTCTTTGCCTCGCTCTTTCCCTTCCTCTTTCCCTCCTTTGTAAATGGTGATACACTGAATCCATTCACTGCATCTGACTTTAGATCTTATTTAATCCTTCTCAGGGATATTATTTCTCTCYTCTTTCATTAGCCATGGAAAAATAATAAGGTGGGATTTTTTAACACTTTAAAATTCTAATATTACTTGAAATGCTAGGTTAAAAGGTTTTACATAAATTTGGCATGGCAAAATGATGTGAAAATATTGTTGCTATTTAGGCATACATAAATTAATTAAATGGTAAATGGTTGATTATATTCAGCAATAGTTGTGCTTTCTCAGCAGTAAATGTCTTGTTCACTTAACACATGGTGGTGCTGCTGATATGTGATCAGCAAAATCTCATTAAAGAAGGCTTGCTTTAATTGTATTGGGCACATGCTTTTTCTCTGTTTAATAGAGTTTGTAAAATATTGGAAATAACATATTTTWTTCAATTCAGCCACACYGAAAGTCTCTATCAAATACCCTTTTGAAATTAAAAAATAAACCATTTCATACTTTCAGAGTTTATCAGGACAACAACTTTATGTCTGGTGAGCATAAAACCTCCATAATATATTAATTTCACAACAGTGCTGTGCTAKCATAAAGAATCTGTAAAGATAAGAGGAAAGGCCTCTTGTTTTTAAGAAGTAGTCATSCTCTGCAGGTTTGAAGGTGAAGCTGGCTAATGGTGTTGATGAAGTGGAGGGTAGTTCAGCAAGGTAATGGTATATATGTTGAAGATCTAATCAATAGATTAGATTTTACCTTCATTGCTCTGAATATTACTAGCACAGGGAAAGCAATAAAGACAATTTAACTCAAAYGTGTTTTGAAAATGCAACTGTGACAGTTAAAAACTGCTGTGTCTTTTAATTAAATGTACCTTTATGGGGTTTTGGGTTGTGTTTTGGTTTTGTTGGTTTGGTTTCGTTTTGCTTTTTGGTTGCTTTTTTTTTTTTTTGTAGAAATCTCTATGCCCTAATGCTGTAATGGAATTTATTTGGGTGGCTGACTGGACCTGCAGAGAACCCGCTCACTTCCCTCAGTCATGATACTGCTYCTTGAACCCTCTCAGTAGCTAATCTGAAGGCAGAGTGTATTCATTAATTGATCTAATGGTGACTAAACAAAGTTATAGGATGTTATTACTTCCTATTAGATGAAGCCTCAAGCCTTTGATCAGAATTTGATTTTGCAGTATCACAATTCTGTGGAGGGTTCCAGCAGGTTTTTCGTTTATGCTCTCTGTGTGAGCCTGTCTCTTGAGTTAAGAATTCTCCTCTATMATCACATTTCCGAATTCATGTTGAAAGTTGGCCTTTTAAAATACTTCCTTCTAAGGATGATAAGATTCTGTTGGTTTTTTTTCACTGATGAGATACTTGCTATCCATGGAGCACTAAGTTGCCTAATTGCTTTTTGCAAGTTGCCTACCTTGCTTTTTTTTAATTAATRAGTTTTACTCTTTGCAGAATAGTCTGAATTGTTCAAAGTGGGCRCAAAATTGGTACTGGACACTCTATCTTACAGAAATATAGGAACAGGAGAAATCTGATGTTCATTGTAACTATTTGCTACAAATTTAATTGCTACTCTGCCATGCTATTATTTATTGTTGCCCATGGAGATATAGAATCTGTTTAAGATAATTTTCCTAAAGTGCTCAGGAGATTGTCTGGAACTGTCTCGTGTAAATTACTTAGAGATGGTAAACTTGTCATTTGGCTCTTTTTTACTGTTCATTGTTATCACCTAATTTATGTTCAGGGGTMAATTCTTCTGGCAGCATCCTCAAGACCTACGCAGGAATGCAAGTTTAAATTTGCTTCTCTTAGAATTGTTTTTGTCCTTTCTTCTATCAGAAAGGAACACACAGACATCATATTATGCATGCAAATGCTGGGTTTTTTTGGGATTAGCTGTATTTGTTTGGGGTCTTTGTTTTGGTTGGTTTGGGGTTTTTTTAAGTTGACATGGAACACATGCAAGAGGAAATGCAAGTCCATGTGCTGTGACTGATATTCTATACCAGGGAGATTTCTTTGGATTTTATTTTTTTAGGAGAAAGCTACTTTCTACCTGTTATTTTGGTGATAAGGGATTATAGCTATTAATGTTTCTATTTTCTTCATAGAACACTTGCAGCTGGGCTTTAATTTGTTTGATTTTCTGCATCTTTATGTAACTGCTGAAAACACCAGAAAGTTACTTTAGTGATTACTGCAAAATTGCTGCTGCTAATAATTTTGAATGCTCACTATCAAATCTCATGATTTCAATGTAAGTTGTAGTTTGTACTATTACTTCACACTATTTACTTTCAGTTAATAGTACCTCTTACTAAGGAAAATGTTTTCACAAGTCATTCTCACTTTGCAGTTCTTCTTCAGTGTGCTTTTTATATGATTTGATTTGCCTGTTTCTAACAAATACACAGCTTGACTCATTCAGTTAGCTGTTTTCCAAAGTATTAGTGAAACCTGAGTTTTGTTCCACAATTGAAAGTACAGCTCTTGTTTATTGGCTAATTTCTACTCTGCCCTTGGAACATAAAGGTAGTTTTTACATATGCAATTAAGGGGAGAGTGTTTAATGAAATAGTATCAGTGGTGTCATCATCTAAGTTTTATTTTTTGTTGTTACTGAAATAATATTTTTCACTTTAAGGTTGAGCCCTTTGATTGTGTTTTGATAGCAGTTAATTTCTGTTGCAGTTTTAATCTGGGATGGAAGTAATCTAACTCTTGCTAAATATCACAATTTGAAAATAATTCAGTAATGCCCTTTGRTAATTGGCATTATTATCAAAGTGCCTATTTTTTTCCCCTTTACATGGAACTAAAGGCATCCAGCTCACTTAGAGTCTTGCTGAATTGTGGTGGAATTTGTTCTGCCTTCTCTGACTGTCCCCAKGTAAAGTGATACTGAGTGTGTCTTTGCATAGCACAGAGCAGTTCAGGAATATATTTCTGGTTTGCTATTTGGTTTTAGTGAGAGCTGTTTCTCASTCAGTTCCAAAAGGAGCTGGCTACAGGAGGTTCCTTCCAACCTAAACCCATCTCTAGATTAATGTGGAGTGGCAGGTAAGCAGGTATAAGGATGGACTTCAGTTTTTTATTCTATTTTTTCTTTAATTTTTGTAATAGAAAAAGTAAGACTGCAGATGTGCCTGCATATTTAAGTAGGATAGCATTAAGAATGTGCCCTGTGAGTGTGTCATTAAGGGTATTTTCCTATCCTTACCTGGTAGAGCTCTACTTGTGAAATTGAATAGTATAAATATCTGTGTCAGTTTGTGAAAACGTAATGAATTTTTCCTATAGATGTAATATTAAAACAKTCCTGATAACTTTTCTGACCTCTCGTTTGGTGTCGAGGCATCCCATTTTGGATTGTTACTAATGGTGTCTTCTTCATATGTGGATTCATTCTACATTTGTAGAATTTCAGATGCTTGGGAAAAATAAAACCATTTAGAATTTGACCAAGTAAATAGAAGTGCTAAAAAACCACAAGGCAATTTAAAATACTTATTATTTTGTGATAAGTAAATAAACCATTTTTATGAATTCTGTCTTTGAGATAACAGTATTTTCAATGCTTCCCAACAGCATAGGGAYTTTGTTGCCCAATTGTTTTAGTTTGAGTCAGAAGAACCAAAAAGTGTCACTTTTATCTTTTGATTCTTTCCTGTAGTTCTTGTGTTTCTGTGAAAACCACAAAATTCTTTACTCTGTTTGGGAAAACAGATGCAGTTTTTCCTGAAAGCTCTGCTGAAGAGAAAATGAGAATGAAAATGAWGCAGTTGAGTGGTCTCGAGTGCTTTTGCTGTATAGGAACCATTGGTATTTCAAGGTATTTCATTTCTTCTGTCATCTGCAGCACGGACAACACCAGCAGCAAATTGCTTTGCAAGGGTTCCTTTTTTTATATCTAACTGCGAGCCCAAACTTTTCTTTAGATACTTGAGTATATTCTTGAGTGTTGTTCATACAGATTTCTATGTTGTTGATCATTTCCCCTTGTTCCTCCACCAGAACTGAGATCTGGATAAAGAGTTCTTTCACGTCTTTGATCTGGTTCTCCAGATTGACCAGTTCTTTATGTCTCTGCTCAATCTCTGATAACTGAGCTTTAGTAATCTTGACTTCAGTGAGGAGATTTTCATTGAAAATCTCCCATTTTCCTTGCTGGAGCATGTCATTAACCTCCTCCTCAGATACCTCTTTACCAGCTACTTCAAGCTGGCGGACAATGAACGTCCTGCACTTGTCCTGCTTAGCAGTGATGGCCTCRTTGTAGGAGAACATGGCGTGGAGGTAGCGGTGGGACAGGAAGGCGTGCTGGGCAGCCAGGATCCTCACCGTGGCTCGGGCTGGCCCTTGCTCATTTTCAGCTTTCCTCACTGTTTTTGCCAGTTCATCCAAACATTTTCGTACATGTTCTGCTTGAATTTTGATTTCCTTTGCTATGTTAGATTCCTTTTTAAGAACGCTGAATCTTCTCATTGAAGAAACGAGGCTTTTTTGTTGTTGGCTGAATTTATTAACTTCTTCCACCAAATTATTAATTTCATTCTGAAGCTTCTGGATTTCATGCAAGTGCCTTTCAGTTATGGGCTCTTTTTCATAAATAATGGCCTGCTGTTCAAACTCCTCCTGYTCCTCCTCTTGTACAGTTGCACCATTGTTTTCCCCAGTTAACTGTAGTTCCTTAGCCCTCAGTTTAAGCTCTTGCAGACGGTCTCTCATGGTTTTTGTGGTCGGGATTCTTTCCTGGTTTTTGCTTTTCCCTTTGCAACAAAGGAAGTTACTTCCAATATCTTCTTTGTTTGGTTTATTTTGTTTCACTGTAATCAAAATGTAACAACAATCAGTGTTAGTGGTTATATGTATACATGAAAAGCAGTTTTGGAGATTAGAGCTACTTCCCTCAGCACCCAAGTAGCAATTAGTTGGAAGAGGGGATATTCTGAACAAATTGTGATTTGTAGCCCAAGCCCATTTTTTTGATAAATTTAAGATGTAGAGCACAGAACATAGACCAGAGAAGTGTGGAGAGGACTTTTATTTGGGGGAGGAAGAGAGGAGCAACTCACAATTATCGTTATTCTTTATTTGAAAACTAATCAAACTTTAAATCTTTCTGGAAATAGAAGTGAGTGTGCAGTGCCATTTTTGGATTCTCAGCAGGAATATTTCAGTTTTTGAGATTATGAGAAAGGTTTTGTAACAAACCCAAGTTCTGGCATGAATTGAGATTATTAATTTAGCCACACTAAGAAGCCCTTCTCCATTTTCCGTGCCTTCCCTTKCCTGGGGAGTTAAACAGGTAGTAACTGAAGCAGTTATTTCTACAACAAAATAGAACAACAGAACTCTCATAATTTAAGAATTCTAATAATTTAGCATGAAAATAGATTTGYTATATTTGTGTTTTTGTGGAGTTGAATCCATGTCACTAATGTTGCAGCRTGAAGRTTTTCTAAGCCTTTTTTGAATTACTGTTATCTCTTCTTACACTGTCATTTACATTCTTCATAAAWTGGATGCAAATGTACATTGTGCACCACAGTGGGACACAATTCAGTACTGTTTCTTATTTAATAGAAAGTAGATATAGTTTTGTTTTATTCCTTAGCTGTTGTGCAAGCTTTACTGGAGAGATAATTAAGAGAAAGCTATTTTATAAAACACGCCCAATGGAAACTGAGTTCAGCTATTTTTAATTCAAGGGAGGAAGGTTTTTTTTCTCAAACTCTACATGAATTATTTCCTTGGACGGTGATCAAGAATGGAAAGTTTCAGTAAGAAGTAAAATATTCAGGACTAGAAGATTATGGGATTTTTTACTGAGGGTCTTCTGGTTAAATCAGATGTGTGTCTTTCAAAGGGCTGTTCAAGCATAAAGGTTAAACAGCACAATGCTATCTTGTGGCTGTTTTCAGAGCTTTTAAGGCAGTTCTCTGAAATAGTAGCATTTTRTAGGTGCAAGTCTTATTAAACCCTGATTCTACAGTTTGCGAGTTTTTTTTTTTTAGCAAGCAAATGTAGCATTTATGGTATCCAAAAGGATACCTTTGCAGCATTTTAATAGCTGCAAAGGATCAATCCAGTAACTTGTCAATATGCAAATGATCTTGTTGTATTTGAACAGTTTTCAAATGATACTGCTGTAGTATCTCTGCTCCCATAAGCACATTTGAAGTCTCTAAATAGATTTTTGCATAATATAATTCATGAAGTTGAATAGTGTGGACACGTCTTCACAGACTCAAATCTGGCTTTCTGCAGGAGGATTAGCTGAAAAACAAAACTTGCTTGAAATGCTTCAGAGGTCAGTCATAAGAAAGAATGTTGATATTCTACCCTAGTGTGGATTTTCCTTACTGCTTTTTTTTTCCCTTAATGCCTTAATATTTGAATTTAGTGTTTGTTGATTCACATCAAGAAAACCCCAAAAGCCTGACAATCATAAGAAGTTACAGTAATGTAACTGAGACTTGTGATCAGGCAAGTTTGCAAGTTATTTATTGGAGAATGTTATTCTGGAGTTGGGAAAAGGCAAAATGTATTTATTCTATGACAGTAATGCACTCTTCATTGCTGAACTTGTCTGTGGATGTCTCCATGGCAGGTCAGGCAGTTTCTCCCAGATCACATTCTTCAGGAATGTTCCAGAGCTGCTTGGCACCAAGACTGCTACAGGTAAAGTTCAGCTTGGGGCATGTGAAAGGACCCAGGCCTGCTAAACAAGGCTCCAGACAAGTGACCTGAAAATCAGTTCTAGTCTGGCCTCACACATCTGCTGACCAATGTTAATTTAGTAGGGCTTGGCAAACCCAGGATTAAAAGCAAGTTCTAAGGGCACYATTAATGCTTATGGTATGAGGTGACAAGACTTTCTTGTATCGAAGAGAGTTGGTGCATTGCTCTTGAAATAGCTGTGTTCCGTGGTGCCAGAGGGAGGAACCTAACAAAACTACAAAACAATTCTGCAAATACTGTTAAATATCAAAGAAGTAACCAGAAAATACTGAAGTCTTTTTTTTCTTGTTAGAAGATCAGTCTCACAAAAGACTGGAATGTAAGCARTTGAGTCTTAGTTTCATGTCTTTGCTGCTGCTGGGCTTGCCTTCAAAGCCTGCCACTGAATAGGCTTGCCAGTAATTGTGGTTGATTATACTGGCAATTGGAACACATGCTGGTTTCAAARAAGTAAGGATGTCTTCATTACAGAGATAACCTTGGAAATTGTTGGCTTGGCTTCTTGAGTGTTCCACAACAAGCTCTGTTCATATACTGAGTCCGTGCTTTTGTCTTACGTGTTTATGTATWGGGCACATCCTGTTTTGCTTTTGATTGAGATGAAAGCACTTTCCTTGAAGTTTTTGTCAGTAAASGGAGAACATGCCTGTTCTTTACAGWTGAGTAAATGGAATATGTGGACTGAAAGCACTCCAGTGACTTAGTGTGGCCTTTACATTCACTGCCCCTTGTGGTGTTATTATCATGCAAACCCATTGGTGATTAARTTTGTTATTCTTGAAGCATCTTTCTACATAGCAATTTATAGTTATGTATAATTGGCASGTTCAGAAATGGGATTTTCACATCCTTGTCAAATATATTTTAAGGGTATTGCAAGAGTCTTTGCCTTCAGATAACTTGACTGTGTTGTTCCTCAGGGTTATGTGAATCTCGCCAGTCAAATGATGCCAAATGTGACTGGGAAAGTCTTTATAAAGAAATGACTTCAGCACACTGACTAGGGGAATAAAAGATCCTGGTAGCTGGACCACCATCAGAATCTGTCATGATGATAAASTATGTCCAGAATTCAAAGATARTGAGTTYGATGGAAATGATTTTTTCTTATATTATCTTCTTCAGTAAAAAAAAAAAAAAAAAAAAGTCAGGTTGAAAGGTCCACTTGCTTAATTGCAGAGCAACCACATAGAATATTCTTCAACCTGTTTGATAAATTTATCAGYAGACCCAGGAAACATGGGATCTACATCCATAAGTGAGATTTGGGCTACATTAAAAGACATAATTGGATATGTGGAGTAGGTAAGTTGGTCATATGAAGTCTTTTGTTTCTGGTTGTGATTAGGTTTATTGGTTTCTTATTTGGCTTTCCTGGATTGTTTTATTTCTTCCCTAACTTTCCAAAGCCTCCTCTTTATTTTAATTTCCGTAGTATTGTTCACTATTTCTTAGCTATTCAGCACTTTGATTAAAACACTGACAGCAAAGGCTCTGTTTGTATCTGATCCTTTGGTACAATTTGCCTCCTTAYCTTAGTTTTAACATACTGCACACTCTTCCAGAGAAGAAGAAGCAATCAAGGAACAAAATCCTTTCCTTAACAGCTCTTTGAGATGTATGATCTGTGTTCTGGCTTATGCTGCCTTCTTAACCTCTGCTCAAACAGCTTTTTCTTGTTAGTGTTTTTTTTTTTTCCTTTTGGGAGGGTTTTTCTTTAATTGCACCAAAAATAGGGGCAGGTTTATTTTGCTGACCCTTAGCTGTGGGCACTGGTAGATGATGCTTTCAGAAAACATGTCCCAGAGGAATTTCACATTGCATGTAATCCTAAACATTTAAAAAAAAAMCTCATTTCCAAGCTGCAGTGAAATTATATTATAGGTCTGTTATGTGCCAGCAAATCCATCTAACTTATTTCTGAGCACAGTGGCCATGAGTAAATCCTGGTATCACACTCTGAAACTTGATTACTGTTTAAATGTCTGAAGTTAACAACAAAATTTTCATGACAGACATATGCCATTTAAATGCATATAGTTTAAAATACYTACAGTCCTCGGGGAAAGCTGGTGTCTTGAGTGGAGTCCTTCAGTTTGCTACAAAGGTTATGCTCTCTCATATYCTCACGAGAAAAGAAGAAACTTGTTTGATGGTGTTCTGGAATCTTGCCCTGTTAYTCAAAGRTKTCTCTGAAGCAATTCAAGTAGGATWTCTTGCTATAAGTTACATTCCTTTTTAAAAATGTTTCCTTTAACTTAAATGGTTTGTAAAAAAAAGCATGTTTAAACCCAGGATTATGAGATGCAAGGTGATTGGGTGAAAATATCCTCTTAAGGATCTTGGTCATAAGATAAGTCTTTGGAAAAACATACTTAAAAATAGTTCTAAGTTCGTGTTTGTGTGGGAAGTTTGGGAGTGGTTCAACAAGAAAATACCAAAGGCAGAGAGCTTGCCCTGCCTAAAATATGCCATAGATGAGATGATAGTGAAAATCATCTTTCAGCATTTTCAGCAAAGAGGATGATCACAACTTCTCTCTGGGCAACCTGTGCTCCAGGGCCTCATCCCTCACAGTAAGGAATTTTTTCCTAGTATGTAATCTAAATCTTTCCTCTTCCAGTTTAAAACACTATCTGCCTGTGTAAAACCTGACACAGACATTCCCAGAGAAACCAAAATCGCCAGTAAGTAGAACAGAAATGCTGCATTTGAAGCAAGGTTGCTTGGGAATTCTCTGATTAGTGTGAAATTGATCATGGGAGGTAGAGAAATGTGGATATTGAGTAAACCAAGGAATTTAAATATAATAAAGCAGACCTGAATATTCAAGCAATTCATTAGGCCAGAGTTGCTGGAAGAGTGTAACCAAACCATGCTGCTCTGGAGTAAGTTTTCCAAGAGACATGGAGAGGGGGAAAACAGACTTAAAATAATTCAGATGTCCTTAGGCCTTTGACCATAAATCTGTAACATAGTCATGTTGGAGGTGATGTAGCTGTCTTGTGTTGAGTTTTTGCTATTTTACGAAATATTTGGTTCAAAGATAMACAGTGAATCAGCTTCAAATCTGAGAACGTTCCTTGGAGGTTTGAAACCTTTGTTATGATTATGTGGCTGCAGATGTGGATGGCTTGAGGAAAAGCATCTACCAGCATTTCCAGGTCTGCAGACAGCAGTTCTCATGTTCCTTCTGATACTTTGTGTARTGGAAGGTGATGAGTTCATGCTTTTGCACTGACATAAATCCCAGTGAGGGTGATGGATACTGCACTTCACTGACTAAACAATGATCTCATTCTGCAAGTTACTTAGCCTGCAGCTGATCCTCTGTARTTGGTAAGGGAATGAAGTATCCCTTGATTCAAGGCAAAACTGAAGAACTTCATGTTTTGATGGTGATTTTGTCACCTATTTAACCAGAGATTTACTATCAGTAGTGCTGTTTAAGAGTCTTCACAAACCTAGAAGTCACAGAAATCTAGTCACACTAGAAAGAAAGTCATCATCTCCTCTGCCCAAAGATCACATCATTAAGGCCCAAATACTTACACGTTTTAAAGCAGTATTTGAAAATAAAATAGGAGCCAGAGAAAGGGCTGCAATAGGATGGAGTACAGATGGAATTCTTTCCTTTTAATAGGATACATAGTTTGAACTCACACTTAACAGCTTTATATTGTTCTARCTGGTTTGATATTTGTCTTTCTGACAGTCGACCTGCTGACTCAAAATTAGTACTGTGCAACATCCCACCTGCTTTACATTCCCATTTCATCTCTGTCAGACCATAGTGCTGCCTATCACAACCTTGGAACTAACCTGTAATAAATGTAAGGCTTTCCAGGCAGGTTTTTTAAAAAACATGCAGGCAATCTGACTTATACTTAGTTTGCCTAGGGTTTGATATATCAAGGTGAAATAAAGTATAAGCAAGCAATTCACTTTTTTTTTTTTAATCTTGTGGAAAGATAAATTGCAATATCTTGTATTGTCATTTGTTTTGGTATTACACATCTGGAAGCTGAACACAACAAGCTTTGTATGAGCTCAGACACCTTTGGCTGCAGCCTGTTTGACCAAGAGGTGTGATTGAACTGATAGCAGAGSAGAGTGTGTCAAGAAACGTTTTCAGTAAATAGGAATATGATTCAGACCTGTGGCAAGAATGAGGCCACTTAACTAAATGAAACAAATTATAATTGTTGACACTCTYGGTGACCAGTTCAAAAGGTAATATGAGAATGAAGTTGCCTAGAGATACTGTCAACAGGAGGCGCTTAGAATCTTAATTTTAACTAGTCTCTCAGTTAAATGTGACCTGGAGGAACTGTCTAGAGAAAAGTTGAATTGGAGGAATGTCTCCTGTAGCTCCCTGAAGTTGCATGAAAGCAGTCCAATAATCTTGTAACATTTTATTCACCTTTTTTAATGATTGTTTACCATAACATTCAAAGGATTGTTTTGCATAAAAATTGAAGGCATAAATTGAAATAAGCTCCTTTATTTGAGAAAGAGCCATGTATCAAACACCAAAGGTTATTGATGGGTTTGTCATTGTTGTCAGCAATCCAGAAGGGGCAAGGGCTTAAAATGCTAAAGAAAAAGGTGGTGGAAGGTCTGTTAACACCTCCATCTGGAAGGCAGTCTGAAAAAAGTCACCTGATAGAGCAAGCTCAGAACTTCATCAAGAGTGGTTTCCATGGGACACTTAAAACTGTTGGTCTGTTCTCCTATTTGTTTGTTAAAAGTATAAAGAAGCTGTTTTCCATGGCTTCCTCAAAAAGCTTGTGAACTGCCAATAACTCAAGAAGGAACAAGCAAAACAAGCTGACAGCTGATTTATTTTTGCCTGTTTGTGGGTCAGGAGTTTGACTTTCATGGGTAACATAAGCAAAGCATAAAGAGATGAACAAAGCTTTTCATGCTGCATCTGCTGAGGCCTCACTTCTCTGGAATAAAACATTCTTCTTATGGCTCTCCCGAGGACTGGCCAAAAAAAACGTTAATAGATGGAGAGATAAAAATTCCWAAGAGAGAAAGGGTAGAGCTGCATTTTTACATAGAAGATTCACTGTAGACTGAAGAATATGGCATTGTTCTTTCCCTTGTTTAGACTGCTGTTAAACTCAAAGGTTCTGTCTTTGTTTTCCCAGCCAATTCCATCCCTCAAAGCTATGGCTTCTTGAAGTAGCAGTTAAGACTAATTATTGATCTTAGGTAAACCATTCTCATAAAGATTCATTTTCCAACAGTTGCTTTTAATCATGGTGATAGTTCTGATGCTGTAATATTTTGACCTCAGGGAGCCTTTGCTCTTCATGAATTTTGAAGGACTGACCAAAAATTTTGGGGTTGTGATCACTGATTCTGCTTGAATGTAACCCCCAAAGTGGCACAGCTGTGCCATTTTTACAGATTTTGTATTGTAAAGTAAGCTCTTAATACAGGTTTGGTTTTTGTCTTTTTTTTTTTTTTTTTTTTTTTTTTTTTTTTTTTTTTTACAACTTTGCTTAGTAATTGACATTTTATAAACAGGTCTAGGAACTTCCAGAGCTTGCATTCACACTTTGTTTTTCTCCGGCAGAAGTGGCTTCTAAGAGAAATATTGTCACTGAGCTGTAGATGTCACTTGTGCCAATGCACACATACACTCCCTTTCGACATTGTTTCCTTTGACTCTTAAAGTTCAAAAGCTCTCCAGTTGCTTAGAAAAATCCTGCTTGATATAAAAGCACTAGGTGCCTACTTTTTTTCTTGCATGAGGTAAGTTTGTTACACTGAAATAATTCAAATATACTTTATGTGAAATTGAAGTAAGCCAAGCATGATTTTATAGACGAAAGCTTCTTACTCAGCAAACTTAACATGATAAACTAACAGCCACTCTCCAGTGCTTTCAAGTATGTTTTGATATATACCTCCTACAGGTTTTTAAACATGAAAAATTGCTATATATGAAGTTCAACTGACTTGGAAAATTAAAATCAAGGTCTATCTTGTAAGATAACTAATGTATTCCCTAAAGAAGGGCATTTTTTGCATAAAACTTGCCTTAAACCCTGGTGTTCCAGTGCATGAGCAGCAGAATATGTGAGTCCATATTCACCCACAGAAATACTTAATTCTTTGCAAGGCAGACATACATTATGTTTTGACACTTAGGTACATTTCCATTCTAAACCCCACCACATAGCCTTTTTCTGATATTTGCGAATTTAGAAACATTAAGCAAGAGAAATCTGTTTACCTCTGAATCCTGTGTTGGTGGCTTTTGTTTTACCCTTTACAGAGGAGCCTCCGAGATTAAGCTTCAGTATAATCCTAAAAACATTTTTTCAGAATATTTCCACAAGGAACGTGTCTTGAGTGACATTCCATGAAGTATTTTCTTCATTCCTCCTGCATCTAATTTTTATATAGCTGCCCGGGTGTGATCATCTTCAGGAGTGGTAGAGTGAAACTGCCTTCTGCAACTGCAGGAGACAGGMAAATTGATTACTTTCTACTTGGGGAATCTGGTTCTGCCTGTTTGAAAGCCAGCCCTGCTGGGAGGCGGATCCCTCTGGAGTGCCCAGGAGCAGGAAGTGCYTTGGAGCAGCTCCCTTTAGAAGCTGCAAGTGGAGCAGTGCCTACCTTGGAAGCACAAATGTAAGTGCAGGCTTTGCTTTGTTCTACACCACAGCATGCAGGGAAAAGGAATCAAGGGTAGATGGATCTATCATGGGAAAAAAAAAAAAAAGAAAAGCACCAGCAAAATAATGCCTTTTGCTAGAGTATCTTAAAAACATTTGAACTCCATGGATAAGTTTGACCTAAAGTCAGAAGTGGGCAGTGTGTCCAGCAGTGGATGGATGACCTGAGCAAAACCACTTCAGTTCCTGGGCAGCATTAGGTAGAGCCAGCTATTTGGATATTCTGCTTTTCCAGATACAGCACTTCAGCCATATTTTTGGAATGTAGTCAGGATTGCTGCAGAGAAGATGGAACCTAATTGACCAGAAAGATAAATATGACACCTTTCAAGGCATTAGAGGTTAAAAATCAGCAGCTACTGCAAGCTGTGGGTTGTTAATGTCAAATTGCCACTGAGCTATGCAGCTTGCCAACATTTCATTCTGCTTCAGTTGTGCTTTGTAGGCTGTGCAGAGTAGGAACATCAGAAATAGTGCAGTTATTTAATCTCCAGGTGAGGAAGGAATAGGCTGTGGCAACAAACACTGCTCAGAAGTATTTCCCTCAATTAGATCTAGATGAATTGACAGCACTGCTGAGGAATGCTTTTTGAGACTAAGGGGCRGCACAGTAGGATTTTCAAACTGTAACAAAATAGGTTATGTGGGGGAGAAAAAAAGGGAAGATGATTGTTTCCAATCTTTTAATTACTTTCTGTTGCTTTCTTGAATTTTATCTCAGTTTTTCCCTGGTTTAACTTTGGTTGCTTAGCTAGATACTGAGAGGACAAGTCTTGTTCTAGCTGGTTGGTAAGAAGAAATGGTGCCAGAGTATTATAAATATATTGAAAGTATCATAGGTTCTGCATAGGAATTGAGCCGCAGTTTGGGAATCCCTGCACTGAATCATACCATGCACTGTGCAAATCCTCTCTTTTAAGAAGTGGGAATTCATTATCAAGGAATGGCAGGCAGAAGACCCTTACGCTCTTTTTAGTTCTGCAGGCCAAGCCAGCAAAGTTCTGATTGTCAGTAGGACGTAGGGATTTTTATCCCCAGGATGGTGATAAATTAATGATTTGAATGGTTTGGAGCACAAATAGTTAAGAATGATGAAGACTGAGACTGGACATTTGAGAAGCTKCTTTTCTATGGTCTCCTTCATAAACAAATTCTTCTTGGAAAGTGAGATGAAAGATTAGATAATGAATTGTAGCTGATGAGGGTAATGGTGACAAGGAATGTGAGRTTTTGAGCTGTAGATGCAACACAGYTTTTTTTCTAATGTTTTTGAGCATAAAAGCTCTCTTGGGAGTAAAATAATAAAGAATTAAGCTCTCACACTGGGATTCTGGAGAAGAGTGAGGAATAAGGTCTCAGATCAGACTGAAGTGCTCACAAGTTCTGCTAACTGTGGAGTGAATTTTTAACACGTTCCTTTCCAGCAAGGAGTTAACACAAATTCAAAGTGCAAGATTCRGCCTAACATTTCCTAAAAGATATTTGAGCTAATGACTTGAGATTTCAGAAGGAAGGCTATGATGTCCAAGTCCGAAACCTTCTGCCACTGAGTTCATGGAAGCCAAATATTTGTCTTTTCCAGAAAATTGATTCAGAGTGCTCCTGTCTTTGAAAYGTTGCTAAATTTCAGAGCAACATTATTTTAGTCAAATTCTTCTTTTAGAGAGAAGGAAGTGCAAATTTAATATTCCCTAATGCTGTGCTTAGATTATTTCTGTTACAGAAAGTACAAAATAAGGTTGGATTGTATTTTTATACTCCTCAAAATGGTGTCTGTCTTCTGGAGTCCTCTTGGCTACCATATATAAGTAACAAGACAGTGATCTTCAACTTATAGAATATTTCTTTTGCAAGCTTTGTGGCGGCTTCTTTAAATTCTACTTAGGAAGGGCAAGTTCAGAACATTGTCTGGCATCAGAGAGAAATGCTCGGCAGCAGGCAGAGCTGAGCTGATCCTGAAGCACTTTTACACAGGGAATTGCTCATGGTGTAGGAAGTTGCAAAAGGGTGAACTTTCATGCAGAGGCTACAATAGATTGTACTGTGTTGCTTTAGATGCAAAAGAGGATGGATATTTTATGTCCATCTTCTTAGCTGTAAATTTTATGTCCATCTTCTTAGCTGTAAATACAATTGCTTCCTCTATAAATAATTATTAAATTATTACTAAGCCCCTTAGTGATTATTTAATGTGTCTGATCAAAATGGTGCACAGAGGAACATGTTTATTGAGTGGAAAAAGTAATTAATTAAAACTGAAATAAGGCATTCTATCTTTTCTTTCTCACTCTTCCCCTTCTTCTTCCTACTTTTGTCACAAACACAGCTTTTGGAGATCTGAGAGTCTCTCTCGTGTCAGGATGCTTAATGTTTTTTTTGATCTTTCCTCTAGGCTGGCAAATAAGCAGGACAGAGAAGGAGCTCTGTCAGAAGCAGATGTAATTGAGTCCTTATCACTGGAAAAGTTGGTTAATGAACACAAGTGTCTCTGTCAAATTGTAAGTAGATTTTAAGATGCCTAGTTTTCTAATATATGTGTAAAGCTTCCATTARAGAAGGAAATTGTGTTACATAGCATAAAACTGAAATTTAGATGTAGTATTCACTGTTGTTAAGAAAAAGWCCAGCAGGAAATCATTGTGGGAAGAGCCAAATGCAGAAATCTTTATGAAAGCTACTTAATATTGKTCAATATTTCAGATAATTTTTCCAAATCAGTAGTCCCTGAAGTTTTTCTTTAAGCCTTTGTTTTAATCTGTTTCKTAGTTAACTATTTGTGGGTTTTATTTTCATAATCTTTTTCTGAGGGCAGTAAGAAAGATTTTAAAAGATGATGAGAATTATTAACCAAAATAAGAAGGCAGTTTTGCAAAACTATTTCAGCTGATATTTGGGGTTTAAAATTYAAAAATAATTCATTAGGGAGATTTGCAGTACTACATATTTCTATTATTTTCTCTAGGAAGCTGAGTTAGAGCAGCGCATAGCTTTGTTTATTTATTATGTCATGACTCTTGGAGTGCTTTCCTTCAGTTAGTGCACTTTGCATTATGCACATGCAGCAATCATAAAAATCAAAATTGCAAGTTCATCCTTGTTTTTTCTGAGGAAGTTCTGTGCCAAAAATATTTTCTTGACAGGTATTATCAGTGACAAAAGACCTGAAAGATACTAGTGCATTCCAATACTTTTGAAGTGCCTAATTTCTGACTTGTGCCACTAAAATACTGTTCTTGTTCTTTATCTGTATCTTGTGTGTAATCAACAAACAAACCAGATCACAAACTCTAAGTCATTTAAGCTGAAAGCAGTGACAGTTTCATGTTCAAATGGGCAACTTCTTTACCAGGCTCATTAGAGATAAATATGGTCCCAAATTCTTTCAATAGGATGACTCATGGAGTCAATTTCAACAGGTATTGCGAAATAAAACTTAAATAAAGTTTGTCAAGGACCAAAAAACCTTTAATTTCTTCTTATTATTTTAATTAGTGTTTCCAATGAAGAGATAGCACTGAGAATTTTTCASATGCTGACATTGGAGAGTTGGTCTCTTTTAATCTTTATTCATAAGCATAAATTCTGAACACAATCAGTGTGAAATATCATTTCTACATGTCAAATACATAACTGGATCTATTCAATTGTTATTCAGAGAATGTTTTRGAAGACACATGTAGTGCTCCAAAACATTCTGGAAAACAGTTCTCAAGAGATYTTGAGAAAACATCTTTACCATGTTCCAAGCTTGAATCAAGCCCTATCTCTTTTGTCCAAGTTTAAGTCCATTGTTCTTGTCCTCCTGACATAAAAAAATGAAGAGGAAATTATTCTTTTCCTATTTGCAGTTTCACTTTATGTTTTTGAAGGCTATTATCCTATGTCCTTAATGCATTTTAATCTCAAGAAAACTACTCTTGGTCTTTCAGTGTTTTTTTACCAGATGTGTTTTTATAACTAGTTTTGTCTGATTTTTCTCACTGTTTCCTCCTGATTCTTTCCAGTCCATCCATTTCCTTGAATTACTGCATCCAAGCGAGAGAAAGTATTTCAAGCCATTTTCTCAATGAGATTTGCCCTTCTCTTCCAATAGATTTGCCTAGATCAGGTTTCTCTCACTTGCTGCAGAGAGTATAATGACAAGAAGTTTTACTCCAACTGAGGTGCAATGACTGTTCTGATGTAAAAAATTTAATTTGTTGGACAGTTCTTCTGACAAATTCACAGATTTTATTTATCCTCGAGGTGCTTATGAAGATGCTGAATTATTTTTCAGGAGCTGAAGCAAAGCTGATTCTCTTTCATGTCAGATTTTTCTATTTTGATTGATRAATACAACATAGACTATTTATAACCCATACTTCTCAGGATTTTGTAAACTTCACAGTAAACAGTAATTGTTCAGCTAATTTCTTGTTTTCAGTCAAGGAATGTCATCTGAACTGCAAATACTTTTTCCATCCTCCAATTATTTACAGGAACCTTGCTCAGCGATCATGGGTTGTGGGAAAAAAATTGATAAATCAATCAAAAAGGGGTTATTGTGGCTTCTCCAAATCATAGCAAAAGATTTTGATGCCTTAAATGAGCGCATCCAGAGAGACACTACAGAGCAAAAAGCATATGAAGAACAGAAGAAACTGGAACGAGCTGAGCGAGTCAGGAGGATACGGGAAGAGAGGTATTTTGTCTGTAATTCCTTCTCCATCACTTCTTCCCTGCTCTAAGATGCTTGGTTCATTCCTGTGCATAGATCTTATGGGAATGAAACTATCCAGGAGTTAAAGCTTACAAGCCAAGAGTCTTTCTTTAAGGCCTACAAGTTTTTGCCTATTCATTGCCTTTATTTGATTTGGTCCCTGCTGGAAATGTATTGTGAATGAAAATTGCAAGATAGTTGTGGAATAAATTTGGCCTTACTAATATAACTTCACAGAAGGCTGACCTAAAAAATAATTTATGTGATTTAATCTGAAGTTACCTTTATGTGTGTTCWAAAATAAACCATTAACTTAAGTTAGACTGTATAACCCATATGTGAATATYAGAGACTAGATATGAAAATTTGTTCAGCGCTATGCTTAATAAACTTAAGGATATCCAACAGGTGAGGCGTGAAGAAACTAAAGATGAAGCAGTGAGGGGAAGCTGGACAAGTGATTTATTACTCCCCTTCAAAGCCCTTTCTGGGTTTTGGCACCCTGCTGTGGTTCCTGTGAAGGACCATTGTGAATCATTTTACTGGGGCCTTCTTAAAATATTTGCTGACCTCTGCTGTCCTCTGGTATATCTTATATAGGCAGAGAATTTTGAGTCTCAGTTACTGTGAAGTGTCTTGATATGTACACTCACTGTTTTGGTTTAAATCCAAGTTTAAACTGCTGGAAACTTTAAGACCTGTCATGGTCTTCATACATATTTCACAAACTTACCAAACAATCCAAGTCTGCCTCACATCCCTRTGCAGACAAAACCTCCTGACCTTGTTGGATTATGTTGGGTTTATGCCACAATGAGAGGCGTAGTGGGGAGAGTTGACATTGCTCTCTATAATTATGGCTTCTTGATAATTCTTTCTTCATTCTCCCTCTTTCCCCTCCCCCTGCCCCAAAAAAACACCCCACAAAACCAAACACCAAAATCACTGAAACAACATAAACYCAACAACAATGCCAAAGGGAAAAAGAAGAAGGAAATGTACCTGAGGAGGAAGACCCTGACCCTGGGAAATGTGGAAACCCCTTCCAGCCTATTTCTGCTGTTATCTCTGAGGTAGGAGAATATCTGACAATCTGGATAGATTTAGAACTATCACAAGCARATGTCTGAGAGGTAATGAGAAAAATGGTCATTTAAAAGAGTTGTTCTGTCTGCACAGCACTTTTTAAATTTTTATTTCAATCTTGGCAGTCTTGTTTTGTGTGCATTGAATCAATGTTTTAGTGTTAAGAAAAACTCTGTTACTGATTTGGGAACAAAAGTTTTGTAGACACAGTAAAATAAATGTAAATACATGACTGAACACATTTCCTAATTAAACTCTTGGGGATTCTGAAGTGGAAAATATTCAAGATCTATTAGTTTCTTGTAAAGTGCCGTAGTCATATAGTGAGTCATATCAAATCTCCCTGACTCCTTCAACGTTTTAGATTTCTGAGCATAACCTCTTTTGAGTTGAAAACAGGCTCTTGAGAATTTTTATTAGTTTTGGAATRCAAAAATCATATTCATATACTAGAGTTTCTGTAACCTTTATTTCTGATTTTTTATTTTTTTATTCAGTTACCTGGAGATAACATAATCTAAAGAAACACGTAAATTTTTCCGGTAATTAATTTGCTTAAATTAATTAATTTAATTTGCTTAAATTAATTTAATTAATTTAATTAAAACATTTGCTTTTCCCCCAGACAAAAGCACCCATATCCACAGAACTTGTCAAGGCAGCTACATGCACAATAATCCATTTAGCACTAAAACACAAAGCAAGAAAATAGAAATGCAGGTATGAATATTGCAGAGATGGTGATTTAATGATACAGAATTGTGAAGCTGCCTGTCATTGAGGTTGTATGACACAACAGGTGTTTATCCAAACTGGGATAGCATTTTCTGAAGACTTGGGCTCTGTGCATCTGTATTTTTTTAACTAACACGCTAAAAAAATAATTGAGGAGGAAGAAAGTAGCTTTCTAACCTTTTTGTGTTTTGTTGTTAATTCCCCCTCACTTCATCGGGACAGGATATTGGAAATTTCTGCATCTATTTGAAAATAAATTCCCTGCTTTATGACTTTTAGGAATATTTTCTTTTTTTTTTTTTAAAGACTCCTCCTGTCTTACTAGTCTGTTTACAGCATTAAAAGTAATTTTAAAAAATCTCGTACTTTTTGTTAGAATGAAAAACAGCTGGAAAAGGAAAAGAAGAGGCAAAAGTTGGAGACTGAAAAGGCTACAGTTGTCTTGAAATCCCAAGCAGAGCAGGACCTCTTATCAAGTAGCAGTAGCCAAAACACAAATGACAGCAGGCTGGAAAGGTGCAACTCTACAACTGCCCAGCTTTTGCAGCATGCAGAAGAGAGTGACCAACAAGCCTCAGAATGCCTTGACTCAGGTAAAACTGCTGCATTTTAATGTCACTTCATGTGATTGGTCACATTTCTTCCTTCTGTCTGTATTATTTTTCATTATACCCCCCATCAGTGTTATCTGTTGAAAACAGAAATGCAGGAATAGGTTATATAAGTTGAATTGCTTTGTGGAAACAGAGTTTGCATGTACTTTATGTCCAGTTTACTTTCTATAGCAAGATTTTGTGTGATTTACATTTCCCATAATTTTGTGTCCAAGTTTGGACTGAAAACTCTGATCTATCTCCCCAACAATGATATTAGAATCTGATCTAGGATAKTACCTGAATATAACTGTAGGATATGTGATGTTTTATTTCTGTTTGCTGTAGATAACAGTAAGAAAAAAAGTAAAAAACCCAAATTAAAACGGGGCCACCGAGTAGAACCTGTTAATGCAGAGGACWCTCTTCCCAAAAATCCTACGCCACCACCAGCTCTTCCACCAGGTAAGTGTAAAAACAGTAACTGATGTCTCAGTTTTTGGTTGGTAAACTTTTAGAAGTCTCACTTGTGAATGATAAAACTGGAGTGGTGTTCATACRGAGAGGAGCTGCTAAACCTTGCTCTCTAGAAAATCTTCAATTCAGTTTCCTGCTTCATGTTACAAACTTGCAGCAGAATGGATCAGGCCTATTCCATGGGGGAATTTTATTTTCCTGAAAAAAGAGTCAGAAACTTGCCTACTCTCTGAAATGATTAAAACTATGAATATTTTTAAGGTCAGTCAGTTTATGTTAAAAGTATTTCATCATTATTCACCCTGGATGCAATATAGTACATACTTGGGCAATTTTAAATGCTTTGATTTCTCCCAAGGAAATCTGGCTTCTGTTCAAAATAATCCAGTGCAGTCATGCAATGCTCTGACAGTCTTTGTTTTCCTTTAGTTGGATGGGGAACTCCCAAACTTAATAGACTTCGAAAACTTGAGCCTCTGGGTGAAACTCATCATCCTGGTAATTGGAAGTATTCTGGGTTTTGTACCTTTTTAAACCATTCTCCATTATCCATTCACTTCTACATTCACTTCATTCTTCCKCTGTTCTTCATTTCTGAATTCCAATTTTCATTGACCCCAAGCTTTCCCTTTTGCTTAGAAAGCATCTTTTTGATTTTTCAAATCTGATTATTTCTTTAAATTATGAAAAAGAATTAGTTCTCTCCGGTTCCTTTACACAGTTTAAAGTGGCATATCAGAAGCTGTTAATGGTCTGAAGTTACTTGCACCTAAAAATGATAAAATTACTTATTACAAGGAGTAGTGGTACCAATTACTTTAAGAGCCCAAATACATACTGCATTTAAAATGAAAAATTTTAACTGGAAATATCAAGGTATAGTAAGCAGTGTTGATTTCTTGCTTCAATAATGACTGTTTTCTGGTTTTGGAAGATGATGGAAGATTGTTTTCCATATGCTGATACTGCAATTTTTCCAGAGTTTGAGATAATAGCTTCTTCATTTTTCTTACATTTTTGTTTTTCAAATTTTGACAAGTCAAGTGAATTTGGAGACATCTGAAACACGAGAACAAGGAGCTTTTCTGCCAAAGAATCAAGAAATGCCTGAAGGGGAAATAGATTTCTAACCCCAAAATATTTATTTATCACAGGAAAATCATGTGCTTAGAATGTGATTTGTAATCTTAATCATAAACCCMTCTTGCTCTTTTTTTTAAAGGCAAATAGAGAGAGAAGGCGACAAGAAAGGAAAAGCCAGATGAAGAGGTAGGGAGGGGAAGAAAAGGAACTCAGTTTTATCTGTGCTTAAGGGGGGTGTTCATTCTGTAGGAAGAGCATGGGTGGGACAAAGAGGAAAAAAACCTGCATAAGCTAGGTGTTAATTTGTAAAATACATACAATTGTTAAAGAATTTTGGAAGCTAACAATGGCAAATATGTTGGGCAGGGAAATGATCTCTTGACCAGAGGTGTGAGGGCAAGCACTGCCAAGTCCCTCGTGCACGATTGAATTTCCCAGGTGGCCTTGCCCATTTTCTGGCACACAACAGTGTTTTTCAATGAATTCTGACATATTTTGCACACTGAGAATCTGCTCCTGACTGGAAACTCACTAGAGTTTCTGTAAGAGCACGGGGATCTACCTTTGATTCTTTTGTTTACAATAATCCCTGAATTGCATATTTCTGAAAATCCACTTCTTTTTGGTTGTCTCTTCATTCGAGAAATAAATGAGCTTTGATTTTTTTTCTTTCCCCCAGCTTTGCCCAAAGTTCAAAGAGGGTTTAAAAGTTTTTTCASATATTCAAACTTTGTAATTATAACGTATTATAATAAGTTATAATTAATATGTAATTATAAAACTGGAGTTTCTCCAGTCTGCTAAGAATTTTGGCACAACATAAGGTAATGAGCATCTGTTTGCTGTCAAAGAATGACAAACTGTCTTTCATGATAGGAGGTAAAATTCTCTGCCACTCCTAAAGTGGTCTGCCAGACATCAAGAAATTGGTGAATAAAACTATCCATTGGATAGGTTTCCATTGACCTTACAATCATTTTTGCAGTTTTTTTGCTGCTRTAACTCTCAAGTAGTGTTATAGAAATCAAAATATTTACAACAATAATACAAAAGTGCTCTCATTTTGCTGATTAAATGTAAGGGTAACTAAAACTTCCATCCTACAGACATGTCCACATATTCTCAGAGTATTGTAATCTAGCTTGTTTGCTTTTGTTAATTTTAGCTCAGGAGTGGAATTTGAACCGARGTTATTGCATCTGTAGAACAAGTGGGATATATTCTTCTTGGGAAATGATGATTTATTAAAGCTGAATTTTGTGTTGGCAGGCCATCAAGGCTTTGTTGGGGGAAGAGGTGGTCTGTATAAACAAAATYGAGATTTGAATGCTTCAAAAAGCTGCTTTTGTTTATTTCTTGATTTCTACCTGTTTCCTCTTACCATCTTCCATATTAATTTGCTTGTGAAGTGCTTTGCATGTTCCAGTCTGCATGGATTTTTTGTTTTGTATCCATTACGTATGTTTGAGAATATTTGTTATTCTGTACTTATTAATTTTGTCTGGAACAATTGTACCACTTTAAATTCCTTTATTAACAAAAGGAAATGTTTCAGRTTTATCTAAAAATTCTTAAATAGTTCTTTTAGAAAGTTGCTATGGCTTGTAAGATAAACACCATGCATAAATGGTCCCAAAATTTTGGATGCTGCACTATTACTGTCACTGAWAATTACATTGCAGTGCAGCCTTGACTTACAGCAACATACAAATTTCAGTGCTTCATTTTTCCAGTTGTTATTTGTACACTTTGGATTTTCCCTTTCTTATTTTTAGCAATGTTTACAGATCACCTTTGGGCTTGATCTTGCAAATGCTGATGCACATGTAACAAAATGTAATTAAACCATCTTTTAGCCAGTACATCTCTAGACATTAATTAGCACCAGGTTTGAAAGTTGCTTGGAGGAATTAGCTCTAATTGCAGGATATCTGATTTCATTAGGGAAGCAAGAATTTAGTAAACATTCTTTGAGCAAGGAAGGTGGTCACTGACAGATTGACGCGTTTTYGTACTCTGTAATTTCTTCCACAGATTTCTATGGAAAGCCTCTTCCCCCGCTCACTCTACGCCAAAGACCCAACAGTGATACCCACGATGTCATTGCTTAATGGATCACAAAGAAAACATTAACGAGAATTTTAAACAAAACCTATTCAAAAAACCTATCATTTTTGTTCCCTTGAAGGGAAATTTTTAAAATTACATTAATCAGCGTGTTGCAAAACAACTTGGTGACAACTAAACATGGAGTTCATCCTTTTTTACTTAGGTGGTCAGACTTTGTCATTTACTTCTCACACCACCAGCTCTTCTTCAGGATTTWTTTGGTTTACTTGTGAAAAGACCAGGCTGTAACCTGAAGAAAAACCCCTTCAAGATCCCATGATACTGGATTGTACATTTCCACCAAGACCCTTCTCCAGGTGCTCGGGAGGTGTTGGTATTTTTTCAGGGAATAAATGATTTTAAAGCATTTTGTATGATAGGGTGAATATAGAAAGGTTAACAAATATTGAGTATATTTTTCTATCTTTTTATAAAATGAATTGAAAGTTTGAATGGAGCTGTATACTTACTACCAATAAAATGGTATCTAGGAAGCATTAGAAAGCTGATAGTCAAGTGCATGAAAATAAAATGTGTTTGACTCCTACATTTCTCTTACAGTACCAATGTTTTTTTTTTTAGGTAATACCTTACATATTTCATATTTCTGGCAATCTGAAGCAGGGGGTAAGACAGAAAGAAAAATATAAAAGAAATACATTTTATACAAAATAATACTATTTGAGCTGTCTGGAAGTTTTCTTATCTGTTTTCTTTGGGTTTTTTTTAACTGAGTTTTGTCATAGGTAATAAATTGTGTGGAAAAAAATAGAGTTGAATACTGTATTGTCTACTGCAACAGACAAGAAAATTGCACAAAGTGGGAATTTTGCACTAATTCAATCACCAATTTTGATGGAAAAAAACAATATGCAGACTAGCCCCAAAAGTTTTTAATCTCAATAATACTATAATACCATCTTGCAAACTGAAGAAACTCCACATTTTTAAGGATTTATATAACACTTCCATATATTGTGTTTATTTACATTTTGGAAACCACATACAAGTGATACCTTAACAAGGGTTACAGTTTGGTATATTCCTATTTAAATATTTTTACTGTTACATTGGAGACAACCAATGGTGTAAAGGTTCATTATTCTGCCATTTAATGACAGACAGGATGAAACCACCATTCCCATGGGTTTTTTGAACAAGCAGTATTTGAGAGTTTTATACTATGCACTGTCTTCAATAACATGGTTTTACCAAATGAGTTCAGACATTAAAACAATGCTGTGTATTATGTGTTCAGCACTTTGGTATTGGAAATCTTTGCCATACACCCCTTACAGCAAGGAGTTGTACAAACATCTGCCATATTAAAATGAAATTATTAAGATTTTTTTAGGAATATGGTGGCAGGTGGTAAGTTTGGAGTGGCTAGAGAGGTTTACTTCTCTAAGGTTGCTGGCTTAGAGAAAGGATGAAACACTTTCTGTGGGACTACCAGCATGAGAATACTTTTTTGTATTCTAATACTGTAACATGATTGAATTATTCTCAGGATTTGGTCATTTTCCCTTCAGACAAACACAATTCTGAGTGGAGGGGAGGTTGCACAAAAATTTATATGTGTAATCTTTCTCTACTTTACTAACACTAGCTCTGTTACCACTTACATTTTTGGCTTAAAGACTCTACTTTTGCTGACTTATTTTTTTACAGCGTCAATTTTTAGGAATGTRTTACCCTTTTATTGTCACTCTTCCCTAAAATAAATTAATGGAGGTCTTTATTAAAAATAAAGCTAAATACTGCTGTGGTAACGAAATTTGAGAAACTATGTTGATGCTTATATATGAACTGTGTGTTCTGTGTGTTGTGTGTGTGGACACATGTATCATTTTTGATTTCTGCTTTTAAAATAAATTTTACCAGTATGTGACCAAAGTACTCAAAAATGTTTTGTAAGTTTTCGTTTTATTAAYATGCTTTGTAATTATTTACTATGGTGGGGTTTTTTTTCAGTAATTTATACTGCCATGACTTTTTATTTGCTGAAGATGACATTTATGTATAGAATAAAACTAATGCAAAGCATCAACATGTTTCCTGTATTAACATAAATTTGCACTTTTTTGGAAGGAAGTATAGACATAAATATTCAAGGGCTGCAAGTCTCATTTACATTGCTAAAATGTACAAAATTGAAACCTTATATACAGAACCTTTGCATATTTTTGCAGGAGAAATGTTATCAAATTTAGAATATACGGATATGATAAGTTAGGTGCGGATATATACATATAAAGTGCTTTGATAATGCACTTAATATTTGAGAGATAATAAATTGTGCAGCTGTAAATTGAGAGCATGAATTAGGTTTTTGTCATCAATAACATCACTTTCAAAAGTATTAACGCATTCAACTAAGAGTATTTGTACATAAGTACAGGAGTGGTAAGAACACAAAAACCACTATTTAAGCAGAACATTTTRTATTATCTATATGTTACATTTTAAATACATTTTAGACAAAATATTTTAAAGGTAAGTTACATGTACTAAGAAGGAATAGTAATGTTCATGAACTGAATTAATGTGAGAATCAGTGCTTCAAAATAAATTGTTTGSTTGTTTTGCCCTTTAGTTAAATCATAGAGACCACAGAAGGAGCTTACTTCAGATATAAGGCTTGTAAAATCAAAATCATTATTACAGTTGTATTGTTAAAAATAGGCATTTTTTATATCCATTAGGTCTGTGGTRTGAGATGGGAAAGGATTGATGGACAGTAACAAAGTAAGCAGCACTGGGKTTTTTTCTCTTTAAATAAGATTCAAGCAGCATATTTTTTTCAGTACTGTATTCTAGTATTTTMGTGGAAAGCTTTGTACTGTAAATTTAGGATGCTGCCAACTAAGTGCCATCATGTTAGCTTCCTGGCTTCTGGMATTCACTCTTCCTCTGTTTTTTTTCTCCCTGCTTTTCACAAAAAACTGTATATTTTTTTCTTSGGAAACAAATCACTTACTTGTGTATTTCTAAATTACTCTATATGATTGAAAACTTAATTTGGGCTTGCTCCAGGAAACTCTGGACACCTGAACTGAACAGTGAGAGTCACACAAGTGGCCTGTCTTTTCTGCTCACAAGTCTTGGAAAATGTTGATAYGCTGCTGGTGCTATTTCTGAATATCAGTTTTCTGATTTTAAGACATTTCAGCCATCACTCTCTGCAAGCACCAGGGCACAATAGGGCWGACACTTGTCCTCTTCCTTGGCTTTCCTGCTGTGGTTAGAAAAAGCAGGTGTGAAATAAGGCAATTTATTTTATCTTAAGAGAATGRTGGACTGAGATTAGAGTGGAGTTGTAGAGATGCAATAGATTTTCCAGAAATAAGATGCAGGCATGGGTTTTGGGTTAACAGGACACCTGGGCATACACATGGTCACTTGCCATGGCAAGCACAGCTGCTTCGGTGTTTTAAATTGCTTTTTATTAGGAACAGGCACCTGCCTTTCAAAATGTGTTGAAGTCGTTCCATCTCGGCAGCAATATGTGAAATTTAATAGACTTTTGTTTTATTGGTACAGTAAAACTCAATTCTTATATCTATTTTTTGGATATTGTACTGGCCTTGGCAGAATTACAATCACAGAGAATGTTTTTTATACCAATTTTGTTCTGTAGCTGTTGGTAAAACTCATTTACCAAAAAGCCTTTCAGGTTTCCTTTACATTTGATAGGTAGGAGGTCTCCGATTTGCYTCCAGGCCCTTTGTCACGATCCTGATTGAAACATTTTAAATTATCTGCACACGTGATGCTATTCTGCATGAGGTAAGCAAAARCACTCAGTCTTCATTAGCTGGTGCCTGAAACTCAAATATTTATCTATACGATAGCACTCCTGCCTTTACCTTTGCACCTGTTTCCAGTCTGGATTTCAGAGGCTGGACTCAGCCTGCAGAAGCTTTAATTAAAACTACTCTTTAATAAGCTTGCTSTTTCCACAGCGTTTTCTCTTGGTGAGGGAGTCGGCAAATGCTGATGTACAAGGGAGGGAGGGAGGGGATGAGGGGATTTGTTTTGTTAGGATACAATGATTGCAGCAAGAGATGGCCAATAGAGCAGGAATGCCCTTCCTTGTAGGAGCAGTTTGAAGGTCCCCATGGTTCTGTTCAGACGAAGGGATCAGATGAGAGAAGCCTCCGATATTAGTGCTCCTAAACCAGTGACAGCTGAACTGGGGTACAGTGGTTCTCCTAATTCCTRTCCCCAGAGAATGGTTTATCTGAGAAAAAAACCCGGTGTTTGAGAGATTTCTGTAATTCTCAAGCCTCCAGCAATTTCTCATGGCAGCAGCAGGTTAAGCTGGAGGTGATCKCCGGTGTAGTTCAGATGAGCGGAGGAGCAGCTCCAAAGCCTGGGAATTGAGCATCCTCTAGCGGGTTGTGYCCCCGCCCCGGCCGACGGGGTTGGAACCAGATTATCTTTCAGGTCCGTCCCAACCTCTCCCCACTCTGTGCTTCTGTGAAAACCCCTCCCTCCTCCGCTTCCTCCAGCTCCGGCAGCGGGCGGGCGTTGGGGCCGGGCTGGGTGGCGGCGCCGCCTCCCTGGGCCCGCGGGCGGCTCGGGCCATGCGGGGCCATGCGGGGCCCGGCGCTGCTGCTCTCCCGCCGGGCCGGGGCCGCGCTGGGGCCGGGATGGGCTCCGGCACAGGTGAGCTGGGGCTGGGCTTTGGGCTGAGGCTGGGGCCGGGCCGGGTGAGCCGGGGCCCGGCGGCGGAAGGGTGACGGGAGCGCCTCCGGTCGCTTCCTGCGCGGGCCGTGCGAGCGCTGCCGGGAGCGGAGGAAAGACGCTCCCGGTCCCTCCTCCGCAGCACTGTCTGTCCCCTGGAGTTCGGCACCTCCTGCGGGAACCTGCCCGTGCTCTCCGGGCTGTGCCGTGCCGTGCCGGGAGGGACAGCAGAAGCGGCCCGAGCTCCGTCCGTGCGGGCTCTGCCCCCTGCCCGGTGTCCCTGATCAGAGGGACCCGTGTTAGCAAAGAGCGCAGTGCGACGGGACAGCCCCTGCATGTCCTTAGAGCAGAATTCAGTGTTTGCCTTTGCGGCTTGCTCAGAAACCAAAAGCTCTTTTCCTCCCTTTCATAGGTTAAACTCTGTCAGAGTCCCAGGAACCACTGGATTATCAGCATAATGGAYATGGAGGGGTGTTTATTAACAAACTGAGAACGGAGGAAGAGTGCTCTAATTTAACTCGTTGGCTCCTGAAATTTGTATTATATCTTGATTACGTAATGATGTGGTCTTAATATATGAGCATCCTGATATCACTCATACCAAGTCGATGTAATTAATAAAATGTGTTTTATCAATTTTAGTAAGAACTARGGAGGGATTCATTTGTTTGACTTTACTACTTTTCCTTTTTTTCTTCCTTTCTCTGAAGCTGGAAAAGAAGACAAAAGGGACACCTGAGAAGCAGATTTGTCAGGTGGTTCTGGATCACTTTGAGAAGCAGTACACCACAGAACTGGGAGCTGCATGGAGCAGTGTCAGGTCTGTGGTTTTGAGGAGTTGGGGAGGAAGGGAAAGTTCAAGAATTAGTAATGACATGTATGGCAAAGGCTATCACTTAATTTGGACTTTATTCACTCAGCTGCTCAAGAACTTCATTATTTAAATTAAAGCTATAGATGTATAGCATTGGTTTAATCAAATCAGCTTAAGAACGCTTGGATTGGATCAATGTGTTTTTTCGCTTTAGGCAGTGAATACTACGGAGGAGTATTTTTTGGGGGGACTAAATGAAAAATTACTAAGGGGAGTTCAAATGGAGGGGAGGGAAATCAATGTTAGAAAGGTCTGGACAAGCCAACAAGGGAAGTACTTTGCAGTCAGAAAGAGCATTGTGTTTTATTACTTATATCGTGTACATAAAATAAGAAAAATGGAGAATTGTCTTGTTTCAGAAGAGATTGGTATTTTAAATACAATAATTAAAAAAACAATGRCTTGATTTCCTATTGAAATTATTTTTCTGCACACTTCTCTTAATCATGTCAAAGCAAAATATTTAATTTCTGATTCCACGAGAACCATCCAATGGTAAGATTGTAACAGCTTCTTCCACTGTTTTATTTATTGAGTTATTGACTGGCTTTTCCTTYGCTCCTTCCAGAGATGTGCTGACCTCTCCATGGTGCTGGCAGCACGCTGTGCTGCTGAACAGGTTCAGCCAGTGCCCTGGCCTGGAGAGCAGCCTGGCCATGCAGGGATATCATCCTGCCTTTCCAGCAGCCCTGCCCTACCTTCCAGCAGCCTTCAGGTGTTACATCAGGAGAGCTCCTGGGAGGTTCCCTGCTCAGAAACACCAGGCTGGCAAACTGAAGGAGTATTATCTGCTCAATGCTGCCTCGCTGCTGCCAGTGCTGGCCTTGGAGGTGAAGGATGGGGAAGATGTTCTGGATCTCTGTGCTGCACCAGGGGGYAAATCTATAGCTATCCTGCAGTGTGCCTGTCCAGGTAATGGAGACAGGTCCAGATGGAGGAAAAAAAAMCCCAAACAATTAATATTCCAAGTAGTTCCACTGTGTTTAATAAGATTTTCTGAAGTTTGCCTAAAAGAGAGTGAAAAATGCAGTATTTACTACAGGATAGGTTACTGCAGAGTTATAGGCAAAAGTGGAGTTGCTGTGTGGGGTTTTCTCACCACTGTGACTTCTCCAGACGTTTCTTAAAGTCACGTCAGTTTGTTGGCACAGGGCCATAAGTGATCTGCAGTCTTAGAATACTTGTCCTCTGTTTATTTTTTTCTTCTCCTCTGCTGCCTCTTATGTCAGTGCTGTACAAATATTACAGGTAAATTTAAGTGTGCTGATGTAAAACAGAACATAAGAGATTAAATGTGCAAGATCTTGGCAAAAGGAGAAAGTTTATAGTAAGAAATTGTTAGGGGAAGGATTTTGAGATGATCACGGTGTTTAGAAGGCAGCAGCACGCAGCACCTGTTCTTGGGCCAACGAGTTAAAGCAAGATGGGATTGCTGTTTCCAAGTTTATTTGTTGGCTTGGGTAATTGTTTCAAGCTGTTGAGGGCACTTTATGCTCCTGCTGATGAGACTATTAGTATATAACCACCTGTACCAGCTGATTATAACTGGTTTTCTTTCCCTCCCTCTTCTAGGGGAATGAGGTGAAGCTAATGAAGTAAATCAAATAGAAATTGTCTTTTCAAAAGGAAAAAAAAAACAACAACACTTTGTCCTCTGGCTGCTTCTGATGAGACCAAACTGTTACTGAGAATGTAACGTGAAGAATTTGATTCTTAATATACCTCAGTGAATGCTAAGATGTTCCTTAAGAAGCACAAAACTGTTGCTTTATTTTTTTTAAATGGCAATTAATTAATGTGGGGCATGTACTTAATTTAAATGGTGGCTGAAGGAGCCAGAAAGGCACTAACTCTGCATTGGTCTCTGGATATGGAACATGAATTAAAGTTTGTTTTACTCTGGATCTCTATTGCTACAGAAGTATTTGCAAGGAAATACTTAGGGTTTGCTCTGTAGGAGCAAACTTACTTAGGTTTGTAAATGTTCAGTAGCTTAAAAAACACAATAATAACACAGACACRAAAGGTGTAAATTTTATGGTAGTCATGACAATGCAGTAAAAACTTCTGAAAAGGGTCTAACTCCTTATATTTGTGAAAACAAAAAAAAAAAATCATAAAGACTTCTCTTTGGATATTTTTTTTTCTCCCCCTTAATTTTCTAAGGTCATTTTCACTGTAATGAATATGATGATTTGAGGTCAAGATGGCTGGAACGGACAATAGAATCCTTCATCCCAGATCCTTTGATGAAYTTGATAATGGTCTCTAAATTGGATGGTAGACAGATTGGACATCTTAAACCTGGACTATATGACAAGGTAACATTATTATTATTAGAAAATCGTATTTCTGCATTCTGATTATTTTTGTTCTTATGTTGCTCTCTTTTTAATTTTTTTTTTCCTGGCCCCTACAAAAATACCTGATCTATTGCGAGGAAGAAAGTCATGGACAGCATTTTTATAGCCTCTGGAAACACTTACTGAAGTTTGTTGTGCATTTATTCATGTGTTYGATGATGTTACCCCTTCAGCCTTGGGAGGGAATTCTGAGCACCTTGTGGCTGTAATCTTTGCATAATGTCTAATTAGGAAGGGGAGGGGAACAAGAGAGAGCTGCTCAGGTAGATTTTACTTTTGGAGCAATAATTTCCTATCTCCTCACCTGCTACCCCATAAAAACATASCAAAATTGTAATTGGATCACTTCATCCCTTAAAATGGAAAATAAAAACGGTTTTTCTTGGTATTTGTGAAAGAAAATTGAATTGATTTTTGGCACACATTTAAAAAGTGACCATTGTTGTTTTATTTGATTTTATTAATTGTTTAGGTACTGGTTGATGCTCCTTGTTCAAATGATAGAAGTTGGCTCTTCTCTGGTGACCCTCAGCAAGCTGTGCTCAGGCTCATGCAAAGGAAGGAATTGTCCTCTCTGCAATTTCAGCTTCTAAGGTGAGAAGTGTAAAAAGTTCAAGGAACTTTCTGTAATTAACAAAAATTACATGGGGCACGATTTGTCATTGTTTAATAAACAGAACCAGTAGTCCCTATTCCCCCTCTGAAAATAGTGTCAAGAATATGTGGTTSTGATGCTGTTTAGAATAAACAGTGGGTCTGAGATAATGTGGATGTGGAGATCTGTGTGAGTGGTATCAGCAGTGAGGCCTTGGTCCCCTTAGCTTATTTACATAAATGTCCATTTGCAGATGGCTTAGAACAGTCTAGTATAAAATCAGAATATTTTTGGTGGAGGCAGCTAAAATGGATTTAGGTATATCCCATATTGACTGTGTGTAGCACAGGAAGGCTCCCAATCCTAATCAACAGCGTAAAAAGTAAAAGAGTGTGAGGTTTGGTGGAGGAAAGAGAGGATTGTTTATTTTTGAGAGCATCCACCCAGTAATCCAAACCAAGGCTGTCATGTTTTACTCATTTTAATATTACCAGCCATGGGTTGGTATTTGTGAAGCATTTAAAACTGCACAGTTTTCCTCATTGGAGAAAAAAAAAAGACTTCTCAATAAAACCTTCTAAACTCAAATGTTACTTGTGGAATAACAGTCATGCCTTAAGTCCATCTGTCAAAGCAAATTGAGGGAAAAATAACATATTAAGAAAGTTTTTATGGAAAGTTCCCATTGCAGCAGTTCAAGATAGCTTTGCATGACTTGCAGTTGAAAAAGGCCTGGCAGAAGCCTGTGATTTATAACAGAAATATGAGGATCTTATTGCAGTAATGCATCATGTCACCCATTTCCTTTGAAGAAATCAATCACATTTAAAACAGTGACCTGTTTCAGTTTTCCCTCTTCAATATCTGACATAGAAAATCCAATTTGTGAACCCATACCAAAAGGAAGCATACATCATGCAGAGAAGTTTTGAGAATTTGCATAAATCATTCTACATTGTAATCCTGGAGAACTCAAGACAGCAGAAACCTTGTTTTTTAAAAAAAATTGCATTCTTGTCAGCCCAAAACAGATTTAATTGAATTATTCCTAAATAGAGAGAGAACTTTCTGTTGAAAATACTCTTTATTGTAGCAATAGTAATAAGAATTTATAGAGACAAAATACCTTTGCTGTATAAATGGTAGTAAAAGAGAGGTAATTTCATTGCTCAGCATAGGTCTGAGTACTTGTGTAGATTGAGCAATCTACTATTATATTTTAGTCTGTCTTTTAAAAGATTTTGGAGCCTATGAAATAAATGGTTACTTTCAAGAGTTAGAGATTATAAAGGTTATTGGGTARAATATTTGAAGTACCAGCTGCCCACTGGCTGTTTATTGTTCTTTTTACCTGGAATGAATTCCCAGTTCTAAAGACATCRCAGATCCCATGTGAAAGGGGCAAAAGGAAATAAGGTCAGAARAGGCTTAATGATTCATGATAAGTGCATTAGAAGTTTGGGAAAACTAAAATTGTGGGTTGCTTCTCTATTGAAGCAATACAACTAGGGTGCATAATTATAAATAAAAAATGGAGGGACTCAGTGATCTTTAAGGTCTCTTCCAGCCCAAACCATCCTGTGAGTCTGTGAAACACAGAGTTACTTGAAAGTRAAGCTTGAAGGACCAAGCGTTATTTTAGTTTAGCAGGAGGATTAAGTGTAAGGTTAATGTAAAAATAAGAMTAGAACTCCACTTTGCATTTCATTTTTATTTCTTTCAAGCAACACTCAGCCTAAAATTTGAGATTCCCYCCTTCTTAATTAAGGAAATGCTTCACTTGTAATCTGTTTTTATGGATCTGCCTGGAGGGGAAGCTGGGGACATTAAAGAGGGAAGTTAAGGAAGGAAAAGTAGGGYTTGCAATACAATGTAATTAATTAAGTACATTGAGGCTTCCGAGAATGTAGATCTGGAAGAAGCATTGARATTGATGCAACAATCTTCCTACTGAACAAAATCTGAAATGTAAATAAGTGATATAAATGCTGAGCAGCAAATGTTCTAAGCAATGAGGGCACCAGTGATTTGAAGGAAATTGAGATTGTAATGATTGCTCGTACCAACACCAAAGCATCCCTGCTGAGTGCTCTAATCCAAGARCACACTGCAAATCTTGTTATTGTTTGGAGTGCTCATGCAGAAAACAAATTGCAGAGTAAAAAAAGGAGTATTTCATTTCCTGATGCTAAATGCTAACACAAAATACAGTAGTTCCCAAAAGCAAATTTACCAATGTTATCAGTTCTCAGAGAGAAATTAAATTTTGGGCTGAGCTTGAATGCCCAATTACATAGTGGTTAAACTGTTATGGATGTTGTAATTATTCTTAGACTGGTTTCTGCAGCTGAAAGGAACTTGTGTTAGGGCTCAGCAGAAAAGAAATCCAACAGAATACAATTTAGAAAACTCAGCAAAGGCATTCAGTCTGCTGGAACTCTTCTATACACAACATCTCTGAGTAATTAAACAGCTCKGTATTTTCACTGAATTACTGAGTTTTCCACATATACCTAGGAGAGGAATTGTGTACTCTTAGCTATGCTTCTTTTTKGCTGTAGAGTGAAGGMAAAAWTTATGCTTATAAATATAAAATCATGTATTTAGCATATAGGAGCACTGTACCATTTCTGGTGTGGGGACTAAATTGTGCTGAGAATTACTGCATCACATCTTCAGCTCTCCCCCTGGAATTTTTCCCTCTGTTCCTCAGTTGCTGCCCATCTAATCCTCTGATTGTCCAGAACCATCTCATCAGTTAGTTCCACTGGGAATTTTTGAGAATTCCAATTGTTGGACCAACAAATCTTCTGTGGGTTGTGTGGGTGATAAAATTCCTTAGCCACTCTGTCTTATAAAAGCTGAATAGTTTGTGTATGTTTGTGCCTRTGCCATTTCCCAAAACACTTTTGGTTTCGTTGTTGGAGGTTTTACATGGTTGGTTGGAATTCCTTCAAAAAGAGTGAGTGCTGTGGCTCCAGGTTGTCTTCCATCAGATATATTAAAAGAAAATGTTTTTTCATTTTAAGTATGGCAGCAGCTTGTGAATAGATCAGGTCCCCTAGGATATGTTGCAAATCCAAGTTTATTGAATGTRTGAATAACTGTATGAATAAACAAATAAGCTACTCAGCAGTTTTTGGGGAAACACATATTTGAATTCAGACACAAATTTTGCTTTAATTCCACCTTCGGTCCTTTTTCCATGTGTTTTACAAGTTGTAGGGAAAGCCACTAACCCTAAAGTTGTGTGGTAGGGTTTGCAGTGGGCTTCAGAGGTCTTTCGTTTTCCCTTCTGGGCTGTCTTCTATCCCTATGTAAACAAGATCAGTTTTTCAGAAGTCACTATGCATTAGAGGAGGAAGATCAGCAATTCTAGCTGTGAATGTTTGGTCTTTGCTTTAGAATAATTTAGAAATTTTTGCTATAGAAATGTTGCTTAGGAGGAATTTTGGGACAAATTTTGGCTAGGGTAGAACAGAGGGATTTTTTTTTTTATTTGTGGGATTTGGTTGTTTAGTTGAGGGATTTTTGATGCCTATGCCTCTTTTATTTATAATTCAATTTTGTGATGAAAAAAGTCAGTTCACTGTCCTGATTCTCTTGTTACTGTGAGCTGCAATATTTCTCCACAGGGGCAGAGGAAGTGCTTGAACTACTGTCACTGCCCATCACAAAGTATTAAAAGCAATTGGCATTTGACACAGAAGGAAATTCTTTATCATTTTGACCACGTGTGAAGAAATAAAAGCAAAACCTTTAACATGCAGGTCATATTGCCACAAAGTACCTGGACTCTTGTAAGAGGAGAGAGGCAATGTGGATATTTTAAGTCAATAAAAAGAACAGAATTGAGAATAAAAGTGAATCACAGGATGGGGCAGGTGAGAAGGGACTACAGTGGTTTTATTCTGATGAGATAGTATCTTGCCTATTGAGCAGAAATGCARGGTAGTTGCCAAAAGGTGGCACTGTTGAAGTGTTGTGTTATTTTAAAATTGCCCTAAAAAGATGTGATCTTTTCACTGCAATACCGAAAATGGTTGAATGATTAGCATAATTCATAGTGCCCCTTCCCATGGTGTGCAACACAAACCCAAGCACTGGGAGATAGGCTTGACATGCAGGTGATACCTTTAGAATGAAATATATATTTTGTGTCTGCCCATTTTTAAAAGGATGTTTGAGACACCAAGACTTTTAGACTGAAAAGAGTCAACCTGTCATGTCTCATATTCTGTCACAGGAAAAAATCCTCWTTAGGTCCTGGCTAACTACACTTTAGTTGCATGTAAGAGATTTTTGGGTGTAGAATTGTCATGTGGCTCTAGCATGATCTTTTTTCCCCTGAGATATGAAACAGTAATGCTGCTGTTTTCCCTAATTTAGTAAATATTGAGAAATAAACTAAAAAAAAAAAAGCTTTAAAATAATATATTTCTTTTAAAAGTCTTTGCCAGTACTTCTGTAATACAGAGAGTTAGGATAGATTAATGTGGTTTTTGTACCTCTAACATCCACAGTAAATATGTGCCGTTGAACCTGTACCCAGAGACACACCCTACAAAAACATATTTTTTACTTTTTTTTTTTGTTAGTGCTGTAAAATCTTATTTAGAAGGAGGAGGTGTGCAGTCTTCAGGTGTTAACTTGTGTTGCAGGACTTGTTGAATGGGATGGACAGGAAAAGGCTTCAGAAAAAGTTTCCACGGCTTTTAATGTGTGTTCTGATGATTTTTATTTATATGAAACTTGAAACCTTGCAGTATAAGTGCCTGTAAACRTGTGAAATTCATTACAGGAAATATATGGACCTGAAATAAAATTATGAAATGGGTGATAACTTGATCTTTATTTCAGCTGAAACTTCTTTATTAAACACAAATGTTCTGTTTATTAAAATAAATAGAACTGCAGATTAACTACCTTTAAATAATGTGGGGTTTTTTTTTAAACAAGACACTATAATAGGGGGAAGGTGAAAAAATATTTTGGAATCTTTTGCGCTGGCATCTTGTCTGATCATTCTAGATTTGAAGCCCATTTTTGGAAGTCATGAAGTAACAGGCACTGAATTCCTTCATCTAAGTGTTCATAATTAATATTCCAAATGAAAGAGAAATCTTTCATTCTTAGATGGTGGAGTTATAATAGGACAAAGTTGTGCTTCATGTCCAGCCTTGGATRAGCTTCTTTCCCTCCAGTGATTATAGAGGAAGACTAATTTCTTAAAAGCACATGAACAATTCTCTAATGAACAAATCCACTCCTGAATKCTCTGTGATGGTGATGATGAGAGGACCAAACCCCTTGGATGTGCTTGCCCAGCTCAGTGTCACCCTGTGTGACTTTGAGCCCAGCACTTCCTCACTGGGAATTTTGCAGCTCCGTGCAGGTTTATCAGAAGCCAAGCTCGGATTAATCAGGGCTGGCGGGYGGCTGACTTTGAGCACAGGCACTGGAACAACTGTTGCTGCACCTGACAAGATGCAGAGATACATTGATTAACCTTGCTGCCTCAAGTAATTCTCCTCAGATRTTTTAATTCATGCTTTAGGTTCCAAATAAAGAGAACTGCACTGAGCAGGCTGACCTTTTTGTGTCAGGGGCCAGTGAAGATACACAGGCTAAGGAGGCTTAGACACAGAGGTGTTTTGAGGTGAGRTTTTCAAGTTTTCCTTCAGAGGCCTGTGCTGCTCTTTTCTCTGATGGACTCAATTTTAGGAGCATGGTGCCCTTGAAAATGTTGTCTTGAGGGGCTGTTGCTCTCTATACGGGAAGAAAAGGACATTTAGCAAATGTCAGGATTTTTTTAACCTTACCTACTTTTTTGGTATCTAGCTTTACCTTTCCCACTTCTCCATGGYAAGATAATTTATTCTATTTTCTAAATACTTATGTAGTTCCTATCTTAGATGAAGAAAAGTGGTTCCCATTATCTTCTTCTCTGAGTTAAGTTATCAGATCTGCTAAAAGTACATCTCGGTTGTCACATTAAAGCACTCCCGAGCTGGCTGGCTGGCTGCCCTCAGGGCTTGGCACTCCTGCATACATGGAAAAGGTGTAGTTGGAAGGGGAAAGTCTGTCAAAAATGAGTTATGTAGGTGGATTCTGATAATGTGAGCATCAGCTCAACTTTGTGAGAGCGCATTTAGACTTCAGCTCTGTTCTCTTTTGAGTTGTAATGTGAAAGAAAAAAAGCGAGAGCTAATACATGGAGGGGGGAAAGTGCTTTTAAATTTCCCCAGATGGGTATWAGGCCAAGATACAGTGCTTTAGGGTTTCTTGGTGGTTTGTTGTTCATGGGAGGAGAAGGTTGCACATCCCTACTTTGCTTTAATGTAGCAGTTAATTCCATTTATGCGGGTCCTGAGACAGGCCAAAGAGCAGCAGCAGGAGCCTTGCCCTTTGAAATGGGCAGCAGCCAACGAGGAAAGGAGAGAAGCTGAAACAGCTTTTGGGTCCAGAACTGCTGCTTTTGGAGCCTTCTAAGGAGTAAAKGTGTGTTGGGAGCCAGGCAATTGAAATGCCTGCTGGAAAGTGCAGAATTTTAGAAAACAAGAGCTGGAAGGGATGTCAGGGTTCCACCTGCTCTCTTTCCCTGTCTCAAGGTGGCAGTGTGGATGTTGTRCTCTACCAGCCTGTAGCAGGAACGTTCTCAAACATTTTTGCAGCCTTTGAAAAGCTGCTCAAGGGTGGAGATAAGCTTGTCGTTTTTTGATAGGTTTAACTAATTTTCAGAATATCCTCGAATGAGTCCACCAGGCCCAGTTAAACTGAAAATATTTAGGCTACCTAAGTGCACTTTAGCCTGTTTTTGCCTATAACAGGCTGAACTTTGAATAGCTCACTAAGGCTTTTTGTGAGTCACATGCTCACTCTCCATCTTTTTCCTGAAGACCGATACAACAGAGGCATCAAACACCTATTTTTCTTAGAGCACCATCAGTTGAGAGAGCGCTGTTCTTTTACACTACGGAAAAGCCTTCAGTAAAATATGTACTTGGCTTGCTGGTTACCATAACCAAGACTCATCAAAGAATTGAACCAGGTTGTGTGTATGGTCCCAAGGGAAGTAGATTTGGTAAATAGAGGAGTTTTCTCCTGGTATTTTATCACTTCTGGATCAGTCATTTCTCCTGGTGTTCCCATATTATTTTGGACAGAACTTTCAGAGCAGCTTTGATCTGTGATCAGCTTTGATCCTCCCTCTGATGAAGCTTTTCTTTATTGATTATTTCCCAAAAAGTCCCAATTCTGTTAAAAGGGCTTCTGTTTTCCCTCTTGTATTTTCTTTCCTTTCTCAACTGTTTTTAGTCAGCTGTCACCCTTGGGAAGTCCTGAGCTTCTCTCTGCAGGAATTGCTATTTCATTGGCATTGTCTTTGTTTATTTAGACATGGAATCAGACTTTCTGCCTTTGGGGGCTGCTCACCTTATTGGTTTGAGGAGATGGTTGGTTCTTTTTCTTTTTTTTTTTCTTTTTTATTTTTCCTGGTGTGGAGGGGATGTGTGAGCCCACTATTGTCCCCACTATTTGTAGTATCTACAAATCTCCAATTATTCAGTGTCATTTATACCCTTCACCTGTGCAGATTTGCTTGTTATTAAACGAAAGAAATTTTATTGAGGGAACAATTGTATTCTAATGTGATGTTTKCCAGTAATATCTGTTTGAACACTACCTTACAATTTAGTTTTTTAGCCATATGTACTTCAAGCCTCCAAAATATGTGATTTAATGTGATTATCTTACTAGAGTGTTTTATTAGAAAAAGAACCTTTAGTGTAGATTCTTCATTTAGAAATGTGGTGGTATCAGGTTTGAAAAATGCTTTTCCGTGGTGCAAGATTTTTGAGTTTTCTCCTTACTCCCTTAATTTGCAGCAGGTGAATATGGCTTGCATATCTCATTTCTATACACTCATAGGTAGTATTTCATGTGTCTGAATAAGGACTTGGCAGATGTASCATAATGGGAAATAAGCAGTTTATTTAAACTCACTTTCAGTGGTAAAGTGATGAAGAATCTCTGTTCCCTCTTTCCACTGGTAGTTGTGAAGCTTTCAGGCTTTAAGCCCCTATTTTGCCTCTGTTTAGTCAAAATTTGTCAACAGGTTAATAAGTGAAGGGTGCATAAACAAACAATGTATAATCCTTAGGAAATGGTTGAAAAACAGTGGCTCAATGAAACCCCCAAGTCCTCTTACCTGCTAAATAAGTTTTAGAATTAGCATAAATGTTTCTAAAATAGCAGCCCATTAATTGATTCAGGCTATTACTGCAAGTGCCCCTTCTGAAACATGTTCACACGAGCAGCTGAGCAAATGTCTGGCCGTTTTGCTGTGGGGTAACCCATTTTGTGTGCACAGTTGTAGCATTTTCACAACAATGCTGAGCATAGGAATGCTTGATGTGTGTTTTGAATGGGTGCTGCTTTGTACTTGTCACTGTGGTGCAAAAAAATACCTTCAGTTAACTGAGAATGCAGTAATAAATGAGAAAGCAAAAATTGTATTATGGGGGTTTCCTGAACTGTCAGTTATATGCTGACAGTATAGACATTTTCATAATGTAATTTTGTCATATTTATTTATATTCTCCCACTGCCAGTATGTCAGTTTTAATGTTGATTTTTCCCCCCTTTTTCTCTGTTGTCCTTTRCAGGTCTGCTATTAAAGCCCTGCGTCCTGGTGGATCGTTGGTCTATTCCACGTGCACTCTTTCCAGAGCAGAAAACAGTGATGTGATCAATCTYATCTTGGACTCTTGCAGGAATGTGATCCCTGTGGATATAAGTGAGATGGCCAAAGGTGTTTCCCAGGAATTCACTTTTTTCAGTGGAACAAGACAGCACGAACTGTTGGTTCTCCCAGAGAAAGGGAGAGCATGGGGTCCGATGTACGTAGCTAAACTAAAGAAAATAGCCTCCACCTGATGGTTTATAATCAACATATGATAAATGAATATTTATTTAAATACTGGATGTGTATATGAACATGTCCAAGGCAACTGAATTTAGTGCTGCAGTTTCCTGCAGCTGCTGCCTGATAAACAGGAAGCAAGACATTCAACTTATTTTAGCTTAAAATACCAAATGTGCCTTCTAATGTGGGCCTGTGGGCCTCTGAGAAGTCCTTATGAAGTCAAGGGAGCTTTGTATTGTTTTCAAGGTGGAGCTTTAAAAGGGATTTGGATTCTGGAATAGAGGCCTAATGTKGTAGTTTTGCACTGGTTTTTGGTTTTGTTTGTTTGTTTTTTTTTTTAATTTACTAGTTTGGTTCTAATACAGTATGTTTTTAAATAAATGGTTTTCAATGGCCAGAAGTAATGGAAGTCTTGCATTCTCTCTGAACACATCTAGTCATCTGTGTTTCTGTAAGAATTGATTTGTATGTAAAGTGTCATCTTAAATGCTGACTTGCAAGCACTGGCAAAACAGGTTTCAGATTTGCTAAGTTTCTTTATTGGTTAAAAGCTGTCTTTTGTTTACAGATGGAAAGGTTAGCAGTAAGATAAACAACAGCTTTCTTTTTTAATTTATTAATATTCTATTTTTGAGCTTGCAAAAATATAAATTGAAAGAGTAATGGTGTATGTATTTCATCTTGAGCTTGTCTTGAAGCAAAGTGAAACCCTTTCATCCCCAAGGGTTCTTTCCCAGGTGGAAGGTTCTAATCATTGTTTTTAAGAATGGTATTTTGAAGAGCACAGATAGATGAGTTGTTCATATGGAAATGGGTGTGTGAGACTACATTTATTAATTTCACACAATCACAGAATGTTTTGGGTTGGAAGGGGCCTTGAAGATCATTCAGTTCCAACTTCCTTGCTAACCCCAGGTTGCTCATAAACCCCATCCAACCTGGCCTTGGACACTTCCACAGCTGGGGCATCCACACATTCTCTGGGCAACCTGTGCCAGTATCTCATCATTCTCACTGAAGAATTTCTTCTCAATATCTAATGCAAATTTGCCTTCCTTCAATTTGAAAACATTTTGTATATTTTATGTGTGTATTACACAATTTACCCTCAGAAACTTCTGTACCTTTTGCAAATAAATGCCTCAGAGGTTCTGCCCTTGTGCTATGTGATCTTTCACAGTTATCCTTTCCACTGCTTTGGGATGAAAAATGTTTGAGGTGCCCCTGTAGAATTAAATTATCAGCAATGTCTCTGAAAACTTAAGAGACTGTAAAGTAGGTGCAGCTTGAGTATGCAGATGATCCTGTGTTTCTGTGAAAAGGCCCTAACAGCATCTGTCCCAGGAACATTAAATGTAATATCCACATTTGGAGTCGTGTCAGGTTAATGGATGAAATAACCATACCTTTGTCAAAATGCTGCCCATCAGTTTTATTTGCCCTGTGGAGATTGAAATGGAAAGRCCAGAATGTAACTCACTCAGTGATAGAATTGAAACTTGGTTGAATTGGGWGGTTGAGGAGGACATGGAGTAGGTAATCACAGGAAGAACAAAGGGATCCTTGAAAGCTGAGCTGCTCTCAATCTCAGCAGATGGGCAAATCCCTTTAGACCTGAACCCTGCAGCAGGGCCTCCTGGTGTGTCTAAAAGCTGCACTGAGTTCTGCATAACCCTTTGCTGATCTCCTGSAGTACCTGTCCAACTAGCCTAATAATGCACCACCGAGGGAGGTAAAAACAAGGCTAATTATTAAGTGATGCTTACTTTGTTTTGTACTTGATGACTGCTATTCCAGAGTGCTGTGGAGTTGGGTTTTTTCCTTCTGTTGTAATCAATTCTGGCTGGTGACAGGAATTTGGTAAGCACATGTGAAGGGAGAAGGGAAAAGCAGAAAAAATGGGAAGCAGAGGTAAGGGTCAAAATCTGAATSTWTTGGGAAGCAGTGTCCACTCAAAGGCAATTCTTGATTGTGTCCATTCAGGTATTTCTGACTTCTGCTTACCTTCATTACAAGGCTAAAACATTTTCCCTTTTTACACCTTGTTTTTTTGCTGGGGAATTTTGCTGAATGCCTTACTATGTTCTTCCTCCTCTTTCCTGATGGAAATGGAGTAGAAAACAAGTCAGATTTTCTATTGTAGAGGAAATTGCAGCCCCAGGGAAAGGAGGGGAGCAAGATGAGGGCATAAAAATGACCAATTCTTTTGGATTGGGGAGTCCCAGAGAAATCTTCGTGATCTCTAATGAAACTGCCCATAGTTGTGTGCACAGCACACACCAGTGCCAGCACCTCAGAGGCAGCAGAGAGCTCTGGAGTTCAGCTGCTCTTATGCTTTTCTGCCACTCCCTTTTCCAACACACAAGAAGTCACTTGGCTTTTAGTTTAGGGGGGCACAGTAAGAAATGAAAGCCTTATCTGAAGGCAATTTCAGTATTCACCAAATTTTATYCTTTATTCAGTGGCATCTGATACAGTTCAATTATGGCTTATCAAAAGCATTCTYCACTGTGGGTACAGTGGAAAACCAGATTACACAATGTCTGTGGACTGATGCAGCTGACTAGGGGACTAATGARCTCTTGGCTTTCTTAGTAAGATGTGCAAAGAGAAGGTGAAGCCATTGAAAAGAGGGGTGAAATTAAAAGATCAGGACTACGAAAGTGGGTGAGAATGTGAAATACTGGAGAAGAGACYCTGTGGCTGGTCAGTGACATTCTTACTTTGTTCTTTCCAAAATKAGGCTTCCTTGACRTAAGACTTTCATCTTTAATGACCAYAAGCATTTGGTCTGATCCTACTTYTGACAGGGCAAAGTAGTCAAAATAGGCAAGAGTCAGTTTGCATACAGTGTCAGCAGGCCTTGCAGCCATTCAGAAGAGATTTAGGTTGATGCTGCTGTCTCAGTCCCCTGTGCTGCTCTGGGGTAATTTCTGTACAGCAACATCTGTGCTAGGGATGGGCCCTGAAATGATTCCTGCTGCTTCTCCCCCTGTCTCCAGTAACTTCCTTTGCTGCTGGGGAGATTTCTTGAGTCCGATATCTTCAGTGAGAACCTGTGAATGGCTTTCAAACCACYTTTTGAGTCATTTGGCAAAACTTCTGTCTCAGCTTGGGTGTTCTTGTAGCACYTTAACCTGCTCGAGGTCCCTTGATYTGATGGAGCCTCAAAWKGTAGYACATCTTTTAGATCTAGTTTTTTGTCTTTAATGTACTGGGTCCTAACTAAACATCCTGCCCAAAAAATAAAGGAGACTGGGSTCTCTCTGCCTTAACCAAAAGTGGGTAAAGCCCAGAAAGGTGGTAAGACAGTAGCTTCATCTTTTAATTATTTGAGCTTTATTGAGGGCCATCCCACCACTAACAATTGAGCAGCTTCTAACTACCTGCATTTGGATGTGGTGGGCCATGAAAAGCAGGGAAGTATGTCACTGATACAGTTCTCAGAAAGTATTTTCTAATTGTCCCAGAGTGGAATAAAATTATAAGAGTAAATTCAGAGCAATATATCCWTTTTTTTTGTTTGTTTGTTTTAAGAAGGTTATTTTGCTTTGTTCATTTACTGTAGGAAAAGTCTATGTTGTCTGAGTGTGGATGGAATAATTCTTCACTGGGAGGAGAACATGCCAGCACATTTGAGTGGTGCAAAACCAGGCTGCAGAGAGGATTAGAAAAGGCACAAGGAGGAATAATTCTGTGTTGGCAGGAAGTAGACTTAATAGTACTTTTTTATCTGTAATTTTTATGATTCTGTGGCTAACCAGGGAAATGTTTAATGTTCCTTGTACAGCAAGTGAAGGTAGAAGAAGGTAAATTGACATCCCCAGCACTGTTATAATTCATTCCATTACTTCACACAGGGCTTTTATATTGTCACGCCCATAAAGCGCCAGTGTGCACGCTCAGAGCCAATCCATCTTTATATACTGCTGCTGATCCCATTGAAGGGAATGGCAAAACTCCCATCAATTTTAATGGCACTGGGATATGGCCCATTTTGTAGATATACAATGTATATTTCCTGCACACACAGTTTTCCGTGTATAACGTGCTCCTCATCCAAGGTTCAGAGACTGTTTTATAAAGTGGCAAAGTCACAACCATTGATGTAGTCTCCAGCTGATGAGATAACGTGATCTGTCTTCAAAATGGGATTCAAAGGTTGGCATTTATTTATCTACCTATTTTTTAATTTATTATGGGCACAGGCTGCACAGGGAATGTCTCCATGTGTAGASTACTGCCTTTGAAAAATTTGCCCAGATAAATTGCAGGAGGTAACTGTGTTAGAAATAGATGCTGCACTTGCAAGGTTAACGTTATGCTACARCATTTAAAAAATAGAAAGCATCAAAGAAAATTGAAGGCACTATGGATCAGTGGGTTAGTACATAACACAGCAGTCTGCAGCACCAGAGGCTAAGAAAGGTCCCTTTTGAAAAGCAGCTGTTTGGATAGTGACTCATTTAATCAGCAAGGCACAAGCAAGCAAAGAAAAAAAATAATTGGATGGGTATTTTAAATAATGTTCTAATTGGGAAATGTTTTCAGCAGTGGCAAGGTGCCTGTTTGCTGTGGAACCCATTGTCCTTGACCCTCTTGAAGGAAAATGCACAATGTATGAGCCATATTTTAGTGGCTGTAAACCTTGTTGGTTATGCATTGAAAGATCTGGATTCATAGCAGCTTTCAACATGTGCATACTGGAAATGGAATTACCTGCCAGGCTGATGTTTTCACTCAGGAAGCTTCTTTCCCTCACCCATAATGTGTGCTGGAGACCATTCACATTTCCAGTTTAATGCAGGAGCAGGGTTTGGAGAAGTTCAAATGAGGAGTTTGCAGTTTAACTAAAACTTTGAGGATGTAGTTGTGAGTTATGTCCTGGTGAGAGTAAATAATTCAGCAGGCTGCAGTGCAGGTGATGGATCACTGAGCCTCACTGTACAACACACTCTTCCACTTAGTGCTCACTGCAGTTGCAGCTCCTGGAATTGGATTATGCAAAGACTGATGAACTCTTTCCTTAGCTGGATGTACACAGGAATATGCAGCCCTCTTGTATCCAGTCCCTGACAGCACTCTTGGGAAACAGCACTGGTCTAAGACATGTGAATTAACTGCTTTTGGTGGGCTGCTTTTCACCCTCTTCCTATTTTCAGGTTTGTTTGTGTTGTTTTCTTAAATATGTAAGTAGCAGTTTTTTTCATTTTTGGTTTTTGTTTTGCTAGGAGGGGTTGTTTGTTTTTCATTATGGATTCAAAATCCACTTGAACTATCAGGTTGGGTTTTATATTCCTGTGTGATACTCAAGAGAAGACAGACCCTG